TCCTAAAATATGATTTTTTTAATTTTTTTATATAGAAGTTATACACAATAAAGATAATAATGCATTTTCGGATGTAGAAAAAATGTTCATTACAAATAAATAGAACGGTCACTATACAAACTAACATCTTATCATAATGCAATAAAATTTATGACCTGTCTAAAAATTATAGTCATAACTTAATACTAAAAGGATTAATAGGTAGATAGTATAAGCGTGGAAACAAGTTTTACGTACGCACGTACTTCGTTCATAATATTTCCCCGCCATATGTGACGTCTGACAAAAATATAAATATTAAGTAAAATCCTAAATAGTTGTGAGTAATTAATACAGATGACATAATGTGATCCCGCGTTTCGCAATACATTACGACATTAGAAAGCAACTGAGCCTGTCAAGTGTTCCTGGCATACCTTAAAAAGAATCCATGTTTGGTGTTGCCATTTGTATTAATATTATTACCCATTTTTTTCATTAATTTTTTTAAACGAAAATAATATTTGGTTTTAATTTAGCTAATAATATGATCTTCAAATAATCTGGTATTTTGATTGAAAATTTAAGCAAAATGTAGAATAAAAATAATAAAATATTTAATAAGTGTGACAGAAGCTATTTCCTTAAAAAATACTATTCATCTTTAGTAGCTGTCACGAGTAAATTATGTTGATTATTTATGTTTTTTTTTGGAATATTGTGGGTAAATTTGTACACTGGTATCACCGGCAGGTCGACATATCTTTTTAATTCAAGTCACAGCGTCTCGTGCGAGGAATGGCGACGTCAATATCGTCCACATTAGTTAGACTGGGTCACGCCGACGATCACTATTCAACGGATGACACTTTATTACGGAGTTATTAGTTCAATGGGCTACTATTTTGACACTTCGAACACAGATTATATAAAAAAATAAACCAATTCTTCACAGAATAAATATAATAATGTACAAAGAGGTTACTCATATATTATTAACTAGCGACCTAGTCCGCCTTCGCTCGGGTGCAATGCTGATGCTAAATACATTACAGAAAAACTGTGAATGTTGTAATGGATGTTATTATACATATAGCGGCTTCTAACGGGCAAAAACGTGACATTTACACAAACATTCACAATTTTTTGCTTGAAATAAAAAAAAAAATAGGAATTTTAATTCTTAGATATTTTATTACCTCCGTGCCCGAGTGACGCTTACAACTCTGCAACGCATACTTAGCCGCCGAGCGGAAATTTTTCAAAAAATTTAACTCGTGATATCTTTTGAATGGAATGTCTGAATCTAATAATTCAAAAAGTTATATAAAGGCTTTGAAACGATCTTAAATAATAAATCATTTACTTTGATAAGGATTAATACTAAGGTACAAATAAAGAGCCTTTTCAAGCAGCGGTATTTTAAATATTTTTTTTATATAAAAAATCGCTTATTGTGACAAAACTATAATAGTTAGAGATATGATGTCGCGACGTTCTTTGAAGATCTTCAATCGTTTTCGGAAATTTGATAAGGAACCCTATTTTTTTAAAAAACTAAATATAGCCTATTTCCGTCCGTAATAGTATAGCATTCGAACGGTGAAATAATTTTTCAAATCGGTACAGTAGTTTCGGAGCCTATTCGAGACTAACAAACAAAAAATCAAACCTTTCCTCTTTATAATATTAGTATAGAAATATAGACAAAGCAGATTTTTGTAATTTATAAAGAATTAACTATGCTTTAATTCATTTAGTCCTGGCTATGCACATAATTGACAACAGGCTATATTAGATAAGTGCTATCGTTTGCTATTAAAAAAATCACTTTCATCTTTTCCTTTAAGAGGTTATTGAAAAAGTATAAAACTGTATGAAAAACATTCTGTTTTAAAATCTCAAACGTAGCTTTCGTAGCGAAAGGATAATAAATAGGCTTCTTGTACAGTGAATAACTGAAAAGAAACAACTTTATAATATCTCTTATGATTTGAGTAAATTAAATCTTAACTTCGTGAACTCACAAATTTCAATTTTTAAACTAAAAAATAATTGAGTAATTACTGCTATACCGTAATCAACTTACAAGAAGACTAGATTATTTGAAGAGTATTATAATATAACTCCAAAAATATTTATTCTAACAAAATCGATCAACATTTAATGTACAGAAAATGGTCGAAGGTACATAACTATTTCGTTTTAAAAGATGCATAGTTATAAGAGATATTTTTCAGAAAATTTTATCATTATATTTACATATATGCAATACTTGTTTTAATATTTATTTGAATTTTAAATCAAAATTTCGTATTTTCCCTTGAAAATCATTTCTACTTTAGCAAAGAAACGTCATAATCTATTCTGTTATCTGCTGCAACCATTACAACAATTTTGGTCCAACAAATAAAAACGTTTAAATTGACCAAATATATCTCGAGTCCAGTGCGAATGAAGCCATAAAAAAAAATACAATTAATTTTGAATTGTCAAACTGTGTACAAACGTTTGCCACTTTTTCATTCAAAAACTTTCATTGATACTACCTATACTATAGTGTAAAAGATTCAAGAGTAACATGGTATGTCATATTTCGTTTAATGAAGAAAAACTTTAAATACTATTCATAATATAAAATGACAACAAAAGTTTTTCAGTCTCAAAATATTCTTTTAAAATGTATAATATTTTATTTAAAAAATATTATTGTCAAATCTGTTAGAGAAAATATTTAATCATGCTATTTAGTTACCATTATAATACTACTTTTTACTTTATTCTAGTTCCAAAAGTAAATACAATATTACAGAAAAGAAAACATTAAAAGGACACCTTGAGTACATTTAATATATTTGTTTATGACTGAACGTATCTGTATTTTTATTCAGGATCTAAGTATTATCGTAAATATAAAGGAAACATTTCTTTAATTGTAAAACTTTTATATTAAATACTTTGATTTAATATTTATACACACATCATTGACGGAAATCTTGTTACGAAAAAAGTTATTTGTTATCAAAAATAAATTTATATAGCAATGTCTATTTCTACACATCATCACACCCATGATTAGGATTCTTCTCAACTATTATAGCATATAAATAACACATTACACAGAGGCGAGTATTCTAAATTCTAATGACTTTCTCATTAGCAACCAACTCAGATAATTTGACTTAAAGATCTACAACTTTATTATACTAAATAATACAAACGAGCAGTTAGGCTACCTGATAGTTTTGCTGATGCTTTGCTACCCTTGATTGGGGAAGAGCTGTCCCTCTATCGAAATTCGAAAGGGTAGGAAAAGGGAAAGACCACCGGCTTTCTCATTCATCGGACGAAACGCATTAATAATAATATTTATTTGCTCTGAATGTAGGTACAGAATATAGGTGTATAAATAGATTTTAGTATAAGTTCCAGGTACATTCTACCATAAGGCATGCAAACATTAGGTATAAACTATAAATTAAAATTAACTATTCGATAATATAACAAAGTCAAATTAACAATACTCGTACAATTTGAAATAATAAGTTTAACTTAACTACATAATTAAAATTAACTATACAATTATACTTAATATTATCTATCTGATGATTTATGATACCATTATTTATAGATTATAAAAGTCTACTTCACACCGATCTTCTGTGAGAGGGGGCTACTTTCCCGGCCGAGCCAGCCCTTGTTGGAGCTGTATTTACTTGGCCCCAGCTAGGTTTTACTACTTCAAAAAGTGTAATTCCTCGTGCCCCTCGGACACAGTAAAAGAAACTTGAGGTAAATGAAATTACAAATTACTGTGTAATACGTAAAAGAACATACTGAAATAATAAGCAGTCTTGCAAAATTATTTTTCCGAGATATTGTAAATTAATGACGGAAAGATTAATTGGTGGGTTTTATTTTAATTTGCCTTTTTTTTAATTTGCAATACATAATATTGGATGAAATATTAGGATCATTAATAAACGAGTGAAGGAATATATATCAACGTAAATAATTAAGCGACAAAAATGTTCATCAAAAAGTCGTTTTAATGAAGAGAGAATAGATTATCTATGGTTTTAAATCTGGAATTCCCTCATTAAATCTTATAGACGTATATCACAAGCTATATACAACGTCCTCTAACTATAGTGTTACAAGTGGCGCCATCTCTGCCCTACTAATAACAATATACTAACCATTAGTATTATGTTAATGAGTCATTATAAATATATTTTTGTTAATACTGGACCATTGTAATTTTGTAATGGCATTACTTAAGTATCAACCTCTATTTGAAAACTATAAACACATGCTTCAGCCATTTTGTAGGACATTACTGGAAGTTACGCTGAGCATTACAAAACAAATATAAAACTGTACTTCGAACAGAAGTGTTAGTTCTCGGCATCAATGATACTTTTGTAGTGAGTTTATTCAGAATTATTAATTCTGAATAATAAATTGAAAGAAACATCTCAACTGCGAGACACAATGGTTGCCATGAGGCATGAACATATGCAATAAAAATTATAATCCAATTTATTAAAATCCAGTTACGTCCAAAAATATCGTATATGTCCTTTAAAATCTTTAATGAAATAAAACATTGTAGATCAGTGTTTAAAAAAGTTTATGAATCATAAAATTTTTATGTTATATTTAAACACTGTATAAAAATTCGCTGCGATGACAAAATATATATCCTCATGTATGTCAATAAAAACTATGTTGAGCTTTTTGTTTTAAAATCGTTCCTTATAGATAGGAGCTTATCTCTCTTTTGCCTCTTAATTTAGTGAAATTTTTGCTCTAATAATATCATTAATTAATTGTGTCATGAAACTATTCAATAATAGATATCAATATAACTTATTTTTCATATTCTTAAACGGTAGTTGAATATTTGACGTTGACTTACACATGACAACTGACAATTATTTCAGCTTAGCTGAGTCAACTTTGTGGCCTTTTTGGGCCAGTTGTAATTGTAACATTTTTCACTATATATTTCTAAAACCATGGCTTATTTAACTCAGCCAGACTATGTTAAGTACATATGTTCCTGTGGACAACTCAAGCCTATCACTAACTTGTACTTCTGTCGGCATTGCTTAAAAATACGTTGCGGTTTTTGCATCTGCCATGAAGTAAGTTCTTTGTATTTTATTATAAAATTAATATAATTAAATTCATGCCAATATGTTAGTAATACTGAATTATATCCTCAACACTAACATTTAATTTATTTTAACATTATGTATATCTTTATTAGTTAGGTACCTTACAAAATTATATATGTCCATTTTTCTTCAATATACAAACATTTAATAATTATAGCATCTCATTATGTCCTAATAAGAGTTTTATGATAATATTGCTGTAGTGTTTATTTACATCTTAATCTTTTTTTGTATTTTGGGCTTTAAGATTTCTAAATATATTCAATCCTCACAACAAGTCAGACAAACACAAACCAAGGCAATAATAATATTATTATATTAATTTTATTAGATGTACTTGTTCCTATTAACGTAAGATAATTTGAATGTGTTCTTCCACATTCCTTGTGTTCTTGCTTCCCAAAGAGGATTGATATCAGGCAGGTGGCCAGTCGTAAAAACAATTAGTCAAAACTATTTACAACATGTAAGGCAGACCCTGGCTTATGCTGGGAAATTGCTAGGAAGAAAAAGAAGAATAATTGGAATGTGTTCATATTATTTTTATGTGGAAAACATAACCAACATAGTATATAGAAGGAAATACTCTCAGATATATAAATCCTTATTTATAATTAAGTATTTGAATATCAAAATGAATATAAACTTATTAGATTCTAATATGTTTATAAACATTTACATCTTGTCTGCCTGTGATCATGGTAAAGTAACTGAAAAGTCGGAAGTATGTAGTTTTTTATCAAAAATAAACATCGTGTAGTACATCTGAAAAATATTAGTTCATTTAAATGAATATTCACAAATATCTCAGATCTCATTATATTATATGTCACATATTTCTCATATATTAGTATGTATGTTCTTCTTCTTCCTGGCAATTTCCCAGCTTTAGCCATTGTCTGCCTTACATGTTGTGAATAGTTTTGGCTAATAATTGTTTTTACGACCGGCCGCCTGCCTGAGATCAACCCTCTTTGGAAATGTATTAACCAGTGATGTCTAACTACTCTTAGATACATATATTAGTATGTATATTGTGCCTTAATATATAATGTTGAATTAGTTTCATAAAATAACTGTAGATTAATATGTCATAACTTTTGAGTAAATATTTAACATACAAAAGTGTTATCTTGACTGTTGTATAGCTTTTTTTGTCAATTACACAATCAAATTAAATATTTATATGTTTCTAACCTCTATATTTGTATTTTATGTAACTTTTATAGCATAAACAGCACAAATTACAATTTTTTATACATTATTTTAAAAACCTAGATTAAATGGTGTTTTTCAGTGAATTGAAATAATTTTGTTAATATTTAGTTTGGCAACTGTTGAAAATTATATGACTTTCTATGGAGGAATCAACTTAACTTATTAACAAATCTTGTTTTACTGGTGTCTTACTTTAACATGAGAATCAAAAAATTGTTATAAAATTTTATCTATTCTGATTTACAATATAATTTTATTTAGCACATTTTATAATTTTGATCACAAGACCATAATATGTCTGAGACTATGTATAATCTAATTTGTATTTTTCACTTTAATGATAAGAAGTTAAATAAGACATTTATACTATTTTTTGCCCTCAACTTCGTCCACATTAATTTGGGAATTAGTAATAAATGTATAACTGACTGGGCAAACTCTATTCCGCCCTAGAGGCCATAAATAACCAGATATTGGAATTTATTATTATTATTTTTCTTTTTTGGTTGGAATACAATTAAATATCATATATCCGTCTCCTGGTTCCTATCTACCTTCACACTAATTTTCAAACCATATCCCTACAGCCGTTCTTGAGTTATAAATATGAGTTATAAACTCTCTCTCACATACTATATAGATGATGTGATCTTTTTAATTATTCCATATATACCAGGTGGATTCTCATTATTGTGCGAACTGCTTGGAGAACATGCCATCATCAGAAGCAAGGTTGAAGAAGAATCGCTGCAGTAGTTGCTTTGCATGTCCGAGTTGTTTCCACACATTATCTACTCGAGCAACCTTGGCTAGGGACCCGGCCGGTGGCGATGGCAAGCCTCCTAAGAAAATGTACTATTTATCGTGTTTTAACTGTCGCTGGACCTCACGCGATGTTGGAATACCAGATCAACCTGTTGGTAAGTTTGTAGGATAAGTTTTAAGCAAACTAATACTTGATTATAGATATAATTTATATGAGCCTTGTAGTTTGTGCAGAAAATAAGTTTACTATTAAAATATTGTCTCAATAAGATAAAGTCCCTATCGCTGTTACACTTGTTCTCCAAAGTATATGTACTATTTGAAGCTTTTCACTTTTACCATATATTCTTTTAATATAAACCTACACCTGGGTCGCAAGTCCCAAGCACTGTTGATGCTCCTCTCCCTGCAACTATGGACCCGGCACCCGCATGAATTCATGGAATGATAAGAATTTTCGTTTCCGTTGTACTACATTAATTATATAAAGACATTATTAAGATGTGTCTGTTAATGTCTTATTTTGTATTTTGTGTTCATTAGCATCTGGCGGATGGCCGGAAAGAACGAATCCGTTCACGACTCGGTTCAACCAACTCCTTGATTACTATAAAGCGATCGCGCAGCAAGAGAAGCAGGAAAAGTTAGACAAGGAGAGGAAGAAGTTTGTCACCAGAGGGAAATACATCAATCTCACGGTAAATATCTTGTTATCAACAACGAACACTGGAAATTATAGATATCAAATCTATGGGACTAACAAATGAAGGTTTTCAATCGTCATCAGCCTATCAGTGCCCACTGTTGAGCAAAGGCCTCTTTCTCACATGGAGAAGGTTTGAGCATTAATCACCACCCTTGCTGAAGACGGGTTGGTAATTTCAAATTTACAATTTTGAAATTATAAGCTCAGCTTTCCTCACAATTTTTTCCTTTATCGTCTATCAGTGGTGTCTAAATACATACTTACAAATCACACTTTCTAGGATCGATCCCGCGCTCTCATGCACGAAAGGCGGGTCTTCACTAGGCCAACACTGACTTAGATTTTCAATACTTGTTCCATTTCCAGGATAAAACTGGGTTAACAGGTGCCATGGCTAGGAACATAGCCGGTCTGCCTTCCAGCGAGAGTTCGTCATCAGTCATCAGTAACTTCGTGCCGAGCCAAGCGAGCCCCGACGTGGAGGAGCTGCCCGACGACTACCATCTGAAGGAAATAGACTTGAAGCAGAGTGAGTCTTGATATACATGGAGATGTCATCACCTGTCTCTCTCTCACTCTTACTTGACCATATCACCCGTCTCTTTCTCTCTCTCTATATATATATATAAAAGAAAGTTGTGTTAGTTACACTATTCATAAGTCAAGAACGGCTCTAGGGATATGGTTGGCAATTATCGGAGAAATGGCTTAATACCAGGTCAGGGAGCGTTCAAGTATTACGTAACGAAATTTTGGGGAAGAGGGGGGGGGGCTCGTAAAACGTTACGATGCGTTACAGGGGCGGGAAGGGGTGTCTCTTACAAAACGTTACGTAGCATTGTTTCTAAAAAAAAAATATTAATAAAAACCCCCAAACTGGAAACTCTTTTCATATACGTTACATTATGTTGACCAGATTTATTATAATTTGGATTGTGTGTAGTTGTAGTATGCAGGTCATAGTGTTAATACTGTAATTTCTTCAGAAGAGGGAGATTTGTGTCAATGATCTTTTTTCATTTAATAGATTGAAACTGTACTAAACTGTTATATATTGTTTTACGACTTTGGATGAAATTGATCACTTGAGTGGTACGTAACGTTTTGAGAAGGGGGGGGGGAGGTACAGAAAAACGTTACTGTGCGTTACGAGGGGGGAAGGGGGGTCAAAAATCTCCGAAAATTGCGTTACGTAATACTTAAACGCTCCCGGAGACGGACATAAGATATTTATTTCAGTTCTATCGAAAAAGAAAAAAACTTAAGACTCCAATATCTGGTTGTTTACGGCCTCTAGGGCGGAATAGAGTTCGCCCGGTCAGTTATACATATATTACTAATAACGAAGTTTTATGCAAAAACTAGTATATATATCCGTCTCTTTCACTTTATACATCTCTCTTTTCAGTAACTCGTATATCTCATAGTATATATATCTGTCTCTCTCACTCTATATATATCCGTCTCTCTCTCTTTTCAGTAACTCGTATATCTCAGCGCACGTCGTGTCCCGAGCTGCAGCCGTCCCTAGCGTCCCGCCTGTCCCCGCGGCCCCGCGCCTTGTGTGTGAAGCGCAGCCAGCGATGCCGCGCCTGTGACCACAACCTGACTAAACCCGAGTACAACCCTGGCTCCGTCAAGTTCAAGATCGAACTGCTGGCTTAGTGAGTGGTTTTTCTGCATTTGAAGAACAAATCATTTGATAGGTTCTTTAGTTGGGAGTTGTTCTTGTTGGGAACAAACATGATATAGTATTGTTTGCTGGTGATACCTCCTTAGTTTTTAAAATTAATAGAAAACAGGTAGTGTCTCAAGTGACCACAATAAGAAAGTGTAATGCTTCTATATTGAATAAAGTTATTTGAGTTTGAGTACTTGTAGGACGAGGTTCCTCTTTGTAAGAATAAGAAAGAAGAGAGAAATATATTGACATACATACAAAGGAAAAAGCAAAATTATATACAAAAAGGGTATAAAAACAACATTACAAAAATAAAGAAAATTAATATAATTGATATACTTGTGTGCAGTTATAAGGAGACAGCTCAGGCTATGAGGGTTTTTTATCTCTGCTGATTTTCAGCTGTCTCCCTAATAACTAGTCACTGTCTCACTACTACCCCGCCTAGAGCGACGCACGTCACCGTTCTGCTCTAGTGGGGTACGTGAGACAGTGTATTATATCTACTGTATAGATAAAAACACAGTACTTTTGTTCTATAGCGAACTGTTAATTCTTCAATGTATTTAACCTGTCTGTATGTATGTAAGTTTAGGCAGGATCGACTAAAGAATCCAGTATTTTCAACGACTTATCATATGTTTCAGCTACCACGTGCCGGAAGTGAAGATAATTTCCTACGAGACCATCAAGCCGGGCGGAACATCCGCCCTGCTTCTGAAATTATCCAACCCGACGGCTCACGAGATGACAGTGAAGATGCTGCAGCCCGAAGATGTACCGGACCAAGAGGACGAACACAAGACTATAGAGAAGACGCTCGAAAAGTCACTCAACTTGGAGAAGGTAGCTGTTTATAAAGAACTTTGATATACAAAACTATTATCATATAATCCTAAATTTTGAAAATATTACCATACATAACACTGTAAAATGAAACTTTAATGATGTTCTTGCGTACCTGGTCCTTAATTAACAACCGAACTTATAACTTTAAAGTACATTATATGCTTGTTTCACAATAGTAATAATAAACTTTATTGAAAAACACAATGCTTCCATAAAAGATTAACATATGGACATAATTAATCTTCTTAAACTTAAACTGTTACAATGTTTTCCATTGGTTGAGGTGCCAATGGTTTTAGCAAATTTTAAAATTTTGATTATCTTTGGACCCACACTAGAAGACCTGTATCGTGGGACCCGTATTTCACATAATATAATGTTGTTCCAGGACATAAAACGGTAAAAGAAAACTTGAATGATGTTCTTGCGTACCTAGTCCTTAATTAACAACCGAAACTCTAGAAAGTACATTATATGCTTATTTTACATAATACATTATTATTCCAGGATATATCATGGAACGCTAGTTTCCCCCGTCGACCTCCTCCGCCCAACGCCGGGTCCGTCAATCTGCCGGCCGTCAGCCTCACGCTCGCACAGAGAGATGACGCCGCGGAGTATGACGACGAACCACCCGGGGATAATGATGAGTGAGTGACACACACACACACACACACACACACACACACACACACACACACACACACACACACACACAGACACACACACACAAACGTCCACATGCACGTACGCTTATTAACCCTGTAACCGCCGGACTTCGTATCAGTTATACAGCTAAGGACCCCAGCCACATAAATTATAAATAAATACCTACAAAAAAAATAGAGATGTCCTCCGTGCAATTTTTGAATATCGACATTTCGTATTACTTAATGAAAATAAAATTGTATAACCTAGGATTGTTAGTACCAAACATCAGTTTAATTATATTCTAATGCTTCGGCCGCTCTCATCGCGATAACCAGAAGATTTGCTTCATCGCCATGTGCTAGACCGAAGACGAATGTTATCTTATAGTGCGGCCGCATTATAACTGATTAATCCTTTGACATAATAGCTTTCAAATTACTATATCTATAATTTTAGAAATATTTTTATAATATGTCCTTACAATTATATCGTACACGATAAAAAGGACCGTATGTATACACAACTCTAATGGAAAATTACAGAATGCAATACTCGCTAATATGACGTAGGAAGCTGTCGTCTGTGGCGATGAGCGTACTAGCAAATTAAGATTCGAAACGCACGGGCTAGGGATGGGAACCATCTATGCAGTTGCTAACATTGCACAAGTAGAGGAGATCATTCTTATTGGGCCTTTTTTGAAAGTGCCGGCCAACAAAAAAAAAATGGTATATATTGTCAGAACTAACCATTTGGAGCAATAGTTAATATGGCGCAAAAGTTGTAGGATCCAAGATATAGAAATTATACAAGTTCTATGATTCATCATTTTCGTACATTTATTTTTCTGAAAGTGCCAGGAAACATAAAATAATGATTGATATTGCTAGAGTTAAGCTTCTCAAGCAAATCATTATAGCGAAAAAGCCATAATCTGTTAGAAACCTGTCGTTTTTATGTAATACTAGCGAACCCGACAGATGTTGTTCCGCCAAGTATCTGAACGCATGCAATACAATTTATTTCTTGTTGATTAAAGGGCCAAAAATGTATGAAGCCTGAATGATCTCCTTTACTCAATTTCAAAAGGAATTAAATGAAATACACATAAATATTTGTAGACACGTCATTATAATTGATGCATTTGTTTTGGAACTAATTAGTCAATTTTGTGCGCAATAATTATTTTTTTTAGTTTTTCGTTGTATATTTAAGCATACATAGGGATACCAAGGGATGGCCTAGCGTCGGATTTTTCCGTCGTTTGCGTTGTAGGTCAAAGCAAATTTCTAAAAATAAAAAGAGTAATTCATCGAACTTTCGACATTATTTTTAGGCATTCTAAATAAAAGATTAAAATGAATTGCATTATAAGTTATTATATAATTCACTATTAACACAATACAAAAACATTTTTCATAGAGTAAAGCTTAATTAAATAAAAATGAAGATTAAACAAAATGGTGTGTTTGGTCGTCTATACAGGGTGACTGGTGAATTACTATCAATATTTAAGGAGCATACTCGGTACATGATTCTCATTCGAATTATGTAAAAAAAAATAGGTATTTAAATTTTGACCAAATTTCCATATAAATAAATAAAGTGTGTACACGTTCCAAGTCTTCCAAGTGTGATACAACACTACGCCGCCGCCGCGTCTGTGTGTGTGTGTGTGTGTGTGTGTGTATACCTAATCTGTAGGGTGTTCATACGATGCGTAATTAATTACATAACTTTTGGTTAACTTTACTTAGAAGTTTATTAATATTTATGTTATTTATTTTTATTTTGTCATAGATGATCGTCAAATATCACGTCCTCAAATATGGATAGTAATTCACCAGTCACCCTGTATACGACGATGGCGAAATGGACACGAAAATATTCGTCGGATTAATCCGAACTTGGCGGTGAAAGAGTTAACAGACGCCCACTCTGACAGGCGAACACACACACACACACTAATAGACATGTGACATGCACACACACCAGAAAATACATAACTTTAAATGCTACTCAGTGTTTATATAATAACTAGCTTTCCGTCCGCAGCTTCGCCCACGTAGGGTTCGGTTATATCGCGTTTCCTAGAGAACATTTCAAAAGTGTGGGATAAAAACTATCCTGTTTTTTTTCAAGGTCACAACTCTATCTCTGTACCAAATTTCATTAAAATCAGTTCAGTGGTTTAGGCGTGAAAGCGTAACAGACAGACAGAGTTACTTTCGCATTTATAATATTAGTAGGGATTCCAAGTAAAGAATTAATATTGATATTTGTTTCAGTATAATTCTGTGGCGGAAATCCAACAAGCTGGCTCTAAGGTTGAAGCTCACTACGGACGCTCAAGCAAAAGTCGGGTCGAACGCTTACTTCTCATTCGCTTTACAATACTCATACAGGAACACGGTCCCGCCCTCCGCTACTGTAGTACAACACAGCGACCACACTCTATACACAACACTCATACTGGACTTGGGGAAAGTTTGTGAATAAATACATTATATGATTAAAAATATTTTAGTGGATATAAATGAATTATGTGAGATTTTCTTTAGATTTGGTGACAGTTTGTATGACACAATCAAGTCTTCAAGGGAATTACAGTGCATTTTTGAAAAGACTAAATTTATTTTCAAAAAGCAGAAATTTTATCTTAAAATTATTATCAACTGAATTTTTTAAATTTGTTTGTTAAAAGTTGACCAACCTAACATAGTAAGTGTCCCCAAGTTTTATCGCAAGCTATTTAATATATAACAGATTAATTTATTATATTAAATGACAATTAAGTTAAGATCTCGAATTTTTCTGTTTTGTAACCATAAGAGATTTAAGAACAAATTAATATGTGAGTATTTATATCAAACACTATAGATATACAAATATTGTATACAGAAAAATGGCATTCACATAGGTGTATTACTGTAAAAAGTAAAAGTAAATTATGTTTATAGTAAAAAGTAATATGCATTATAATAACAATAAATTACCATATGATGTTCTAAATAATCTAGTACTAATATAAATTTGCCTAAAGTATGGACTTTTTGTATAAAAGAATGATAATTGCTAGCAAAGAATAAATTGCATCGACCTTGGGCTGTATTAAAGATGACTCAGGGTATTGATGGTAAAGGAAATGTAATAAAATTATGCACACAATGTATAATTGTGTTGAATAAAAAAGTATTCTGATTATCGTTTATAGATTAATGCATTCCTGTATTATATTTGGTGCAACATTGAATGTGCTTAAAGCATTTATATGTAAGACTTTTATAGCTTAATATCATCATTTAAAATTTTGCACCTACCAGAATGTAACCAGCTAAAACTGTTTAATAAATTATAAAAAATATCCGGTGTAATTATTTAAACAACCTGAACGATAAAAGAAAACATCTCGAGTACCAAATAATAATTTATTTCTTTTCAGTCCCAATAGTCAGTCAACATTTATAAAACATATAACATATTCAACATTAATAAAAACAAAACTGTACAATTAATATCTTTTACTTTATAATATCTTCTTCGACTTGAGTTTTTGCTGAATAAATAACATCATTGATGCCGACACCGTCATAACTGCTGCCAATCAGTGATATCGGTAAATTATTGTTCACAATATACTGCCTTATCTCGTCCACTCTTTCGTAATGACCAATCACATATTGAGGGATACATTTGTCTAATATGCTAACATTATGAGCGGATACTTGCTCGTCTATCTTCAGAATGGATTTAATTTCTTTTATAGCTATATCATATAGTTGTTCCTTAGTGATGTTAGGTCCAAACTTTTCTTTGAACCATCTACCACCCAACATAACGGTGAGAACAGTACCATTTTGATCGGGAATACAACATGAATCGAATACAACTCCTAATATGGGAGAGTTCTCTATCGGTGGTACTAAGAATCCAAATGCTGGTTTTATTAATGGTTTTCTTGTAGCGAAATATAGATTTACAATACCGACCGTCACAAATGGTATATCATTCAGAATCTTGGCCAGGTCGGGATGCTGTTTCATAACTAGTTTTGCTAGAACATGTGATGGTATTGACGAGTACACATGGTTGGCAGTCAGAGTTTCATTTCCCTTTTTGAGTTTAACCAAGCTCGAGTCAACAAATTCTAATTCATCGATTTGACTGTTCAAATGTAAATTGACATCATTGTCTTGAAGGTATTGCCTCATCTTATTGGGTATAGTTTGAAGACCTCCCTTTAATGAGTACACATTCCACTTTTCTTCTTGTGCTCTCTTTGCTAGATCACCTAATTGTATTTCTGTTTCATTCTTTGATTTGAACATCCCTTTCATAAGCCCTTTGATAACACCTCCATCATTCTGTTCATACTCAAATAGTGTTTTCATAAGAAATTTCACTGAAATTTCTTTAGCATCCCCAGCGCAAATACCACAAATCATTGGTGATACGGCATAGTCGGCTATCTCTTTTCCAAACCTTCTTTCCACAAAATTATATATTGAATCATCTTTCAATTCTTTATGAGGATTCTTGAGATCATTTAAGGCAGCGTAAATTAAAGGTTTGGAAAACGGTTCTGTCTTTTGAAATACACTCTTAATACTTGAGGGTAATAAGTGTAGAGAATTATTAACATATATCATTCTATTTTTAGCAGCGGGATGGTCGGGTTTAATTGCAGAAATATGTTCGCTAAGACCTAAATCTTGCAACATGTTCAATGTATTCAGACCAGTTGCACCTCGAGGTCTTATAGTTCTCGGTCCTTGTTCAAATATATAGTCTTTAGTTCTTATAGATTTTATCCACCCTCCGCAATAATCTGTAGCTTCTAATAGAAATATCTTCAAATTATTATTGTTAGTTATGTTATTTTTCAATAAATAGTAACCGGTTGATAAACCTCCCAAACCTCCACCTAATATCGCTGCCATCGTCTTTTTAAATAACAATAATAATTACTAAAGTCAATTTCTTCAATATGTTCTATAATATTAACACTTCAATTAATTAAGTTCGGTTTTTTGAACACAATCGTAAACGAAAACTCAAAATTCAAAAAAACAATATGCCATATGTTACTATGACATTTAAGTAGAACTAAGTTGTAAATAACTTCTAAATAGTGTCAAATGTCAGAATGCAGAATTCGAATGTTGCTTTCTTTTAATATTGATTTTTTTTCTACAAAAAACGTCTTTATTCCATAACATATTTCTTGAACTAGAGGAAAAGGAGGAGTAAGGAAAAGATATTTTTTTGTAATAAATAATCACTGCGAAGGAAATATCAGTGACGCAAACTTCTGTTATATAAATCTTATATTACGGCCACTTCCACCACTAAACTAACTTTTCTTTTTCTATTCTATTGGTGATAAAAGTATTCAAGACTTTTTTTAATGTATGTTAGACTCATTGCCAAAATCTCAATAACCTAAAAAAAAGTTATAAATTTTATAAGGCCATCTAAATAACGGTGACTACACTTGAGTCCATATTTGCCGCAACAGGTTTTATTGTAGTAATTTAAAGTTTCCAACACGAAATAAAAGTGAATTATAAAAGATTATGTGTTCCGAAAACTGAAATATTTATTTCACACAGAGTTTAATGTCATCTGTGATGCATAGAGGTCGTGCTTCTTATTCGAAAAATTTACGGGATTTACGGGAGGATTTTGCGCACTTGACTCATACCGATGCCTAAGCTTGTCCGAATCTGCTGATAGGTCACTCTTTTGTCAGTCTCTATCATGCGCCGCACAACACAGATGTTATCTTCGGTCGTCGCCATAGAAGGCCGTCCCTCACGTAAATCATCATTGAGATTAGTGCGACCACGTTTAAACTCATTAAACCAGTTGTAAACAGTCGCACGAGATGGGGCCTCAACGTGAAAGGCCAATCGTAGTCTATCATAACTTTCTTGTTGACTTAAATGACATCTAAAGTCATAAAAAATCATTGCACGAAAATTTTCTCGTGTTAAATTCATGTTGACGTGACACAGACAATTTTCAATTTGCCGCCAAAATCGTAAAACAAATGACAAATATATGAAATATATACTCAGTAATATTGGCAAAGAGTTCTACATATTTTCAAATTTGAGAATTATTTTTTTATTATATTGTTTATAAGTGGCCAGTTCTAAGATCTTTCAGTTTGTCCCTCGTAATAATAACTAGCATGTTTTAGGGCCAAAGACTAGCAAGAAATAGTAAAGTCAGATATCCATCATCTTGCCCATCTTGATAAGGCAAACGTATCTTTGTTGAGGTCTGGGATGAAATCAGTGATGTTTTATATAATTTCCTCTGCTTTAACACTCATAGTGAATTTATTTAACTGTTTATTTATCGTTAATATAGCCATCACAGGACATGAATCTATATATTATAAAAGAAAGTCGTGTTAGTTGCACTTTTTATAACTCAAGAACGGCTGTACAGATTTGGTTGGAAATTTGTGGGACGGTAGATTGGAACCAGGAGATGGACATAGGATAGTTTAGAATTCGTTTGATCAAAAAAATTGCTAATAAAATCCAAAATCTATTTATTTATTGCCTAGACGTCTAAACAGTTCGCCCCGTCAGCTATACATTTCTAATTATGAAACTAACGTGGACGAAGTGGCGGGCAAAAGGTAGCATATATCTAGTCTTAATAATCAAACAATGTATAAACTTACAATAGTTTTAAACGTTTCTGCACATATAATATACTAAAATATACTCTTGAGTTGAAAACCAAACATAAAATATATAATTTTTATAAATACATGAACATGTGTTAAAAAAAATTGATAGACTCATTACAATTTAATTAAAAGAAACTGAAATCCAAAGACCTTTATAAGTTTATAGACGAATGTATAAAGAATTCCTAGGAACGAGCAGGATCATAACGTTGTTTGAGATGAAATATAAGAACAAACATCAGTTCGTTCATGGAACGTGCATCGAATCCGGCCCTAGTAGATTCTTTTCAAATTTGATTAGGTGAAGAGAGGAGCTTGGATGGTTGAGATAAGCGTTTAACGCACGTAAGATAGGGGCCCCTTAAACTTACATCTGGGTCGTAAGGTTCAGTCCCTGTTGAAGCTCCTCTCACTACAACGATGGACCCGACACACGCACCGTGAATACATGGAATGATGAGAGGTTTCGTCACTCTTAGAAACGATTTAACTAATACATAGTCGTAGTTACAGAACAGTATTATAGCAATCACATCTTTATTTATTCATCAAAATCGATTTTTTTATTTAAAATAATAATTACCTATAAACTAATTACAAATAACACTGAGGTGTAATTAAAGTGTAAATCAAAATGACCATTGCTGGAAAAAATTAAAGACATAAGGAAATTTAAGACTTTTGCGAGTACCTATTCAGTTAAATAAAACTAATATTTTGGGGATTTACTATGTATTTTTTTTAATTCTATTTAAAAACATACTCCCAACGTCTCGGTTTCTTAACAGCATCTGTGATCACGTACAGACGAAGTGTGAATTTCTGTCAGTTGGGGTTATTATTTTGTCATCTACATGTAGTATGTCGTAATTAAATTAGTTTTATTTTAATTAAAAAGATTATTTTATTAAAACAGCACGCTTAAAAAGTGGTGAAATACATTCTTAAAATATTAAACTTTCTATGCATATACACAGGTATTTTATATATTGAAATCTAACGGTTTTTCTTATTAATAAATCCTCGCACATAGAGAAAACGACGGCAAATAACTTAATTCTTCAAAAACGGGAAATCCCGGCACGTTCAAATTAAATTTTATAATTATAGTAGTCATCGTTAATAAGCACTTATTGTTATTGTTAAGGAATATGAAATGTAAAATGATTCGTTGTGGTAAATGATTCGTGGAAGAAAACAGACGCGAGATAAAAAACATGAATAAAAAACATGACTGTTTTTAGTCAAAAAATTACAAAGAGACTAAACAGTGTTCGGGATGTAAAAAAATCATTTGTAAAGATCATGGACGTGGTAGATTCAGTCGGGATAAGACCAGTTCATGCATCATTCATCATACATTTTAGAAACTTTTCACAGGAAAAATATTAGAACCACCAAAATCGGCAACGGAGTAATAGTCGCCATTGAATACTTCTGAAAATTAATGTCTTGCATATATTTACCATTATATGAAATAAATTCAAGTTAACCAAGAAAAATATTGAGCATGACTGTTGATTCAACACTAAACAATTTGTTCTCGGGTAAAATCATACGACAGCTGAAATCCGTAAAAAACTCGTTTCGTGCCCTTAGTCCAAGGTTGCGTGCTCACGCCACTAACCAGTTTTATGTTCATAAATATTTTCACATGATATTAATGTAAAAATACTTCGTATGAAGTCTGTCGAAGAAAATTTATAACATACTGATGAAATGTTGGTATTGCTCTCGTTACTATATTGTAAAACTATAGATTTTAGACACAGAGTAAACTTGACACATGAGAAACATACATTGAATTTACTTAATTTAATTTAGTACATAATAAATTCTACGTAGTCCAACCAATGACTAAATAATTATGATAATAAATTACAAGTAATAGAACCAATTTATTGTAAGAAATATGAGAGCATCATTAAAACAGTGGGTTACATTTAAAAATATTTATTAAATATCTAAAAACCAAAACGTGCGTCGGTTTTAAACTCCCAATTTCAGTATTACAAGTTCCACTTTATCGTTTATATACTACTAGTACATTCTACGTTGGAGTATCGTTTCGTAAGATAAAATATTTATGAATGAAACAAATAGTTTTTAATGTAACGATTCAAATATATGATAAAGGTGTTGACCAATTCGTCACTATACTACTGGGAAGTTCAATATGATAAGGGCGGGCCAGTCATTGCGTCATAGACGTCACGCGAAAATAAGTTATGATAAGTTTGTAAATTATCAATATTTTATTCATGCAATATATGAGTCATACTTGCTTAAACTTTCAAAAGATTAAATAAATTCTATTAATAATTCAGTCAATATCACTTCTTACATATATTTACAGTAATGTGGAAAGTTGAGTCATTGATTAAAAATTCGGTTCTTTGCGATAGACACGTTTCACGTCAGTTATTGATAAATTATTATGACAAATAAAAAACTTACGAAATACATGATCACTTAAAGTCATTTATTTAACATAAAGTTTTATGTTAATGGTAATTTTTTAATAATTTTAGTCAGTGGTGGCCTAGTGGTTAGAGGGCCCGCCTCTCGTTGCCGAGGGCGCGGGTTCGATCCTGGCCCGGGCAAGTACCAATGTGATTTTTCCGAGTCATATGGACTTTCTAAGAGTAAGTATTTAGACATCACTGATTAATGTTGATTCCCAAAAGAGGGTTGATGTCAGGCAGGCGGCCGGTCGTAAAAACAAATAGCCAAAACTATTCACAAACATGTAAGGCAGACTCTGGCTATAGCTGGGAAATTGCCAGGTAGAAGAAAGGTAGAAGGTAATTTTTGTGAAGGAAAAGAGTATAAAATTCTCACTTCTAACTTCCCTTTCTGTGATGGCTAGAACCCGTGTTTGTTATTTAATAAGTTTCCTTATATTATGTCCCTATTCTTACAAACAACTATTAATTCTAGTATTATTTTATTGATATTTAAATTATATTAATACTATTTTGATAGATATGAAGATGCCAAACAACTTTATAAAAATATTGTAGGTCATTATAAAGATGAAACAATTGAGAGTGTAGTTTATGAAAGTAAAGAAAGATTATGAAAATAACGTTCAATTCCATGTTAGTTTTGAACGAGGAAGTGTAATTGTTCGCCAAAATAAAAGAATTAATAACTGTCACTGATAAAAGTCACGAAGCGATTGCATCAGACTCGAGCAAACAGTTTTGATGTCATCTCCGTAGTGATCAATAGATGGCGCTACTTTACATATGAAAAAATCATGCGGTGTTACATCAGCCGAGTGAGGTATATATTTCGACCAATCCCAAGCGTTTTATTCAGTTTCAAAACACACATCATACAATACAGAAGTTTCTTGTTCTCATCGAAGAAGATTTTAAATTGTAAAATGACGTCATTAGAAGTGATTTTCTCAACAATTAGTCAATTTGTACCGGTAAGTTCAATTATAAATGTGTAGGTGTAATTATAGCAAATTTACAATATAATTTTTATATAACCTTAATACGTGACAATATTAAATGACTGTTCATTCCCTTTTAGTTTGATCTGAGTTATTTTCGAATAATACTTACAAAATATGTCATGATTTTAACGAACCATTCTGTTTTTCAGGAATCCGCAACCTTCAACGAAGTGAATTTACCAGCACGTGCCAATACTTTATCGGCGAACCGACCTCCGATTGATATAAATTTATACTTAAACTGCTATACGTAACACGGAAATTAAATTATTAGCATTGACAAGTGCAGCATTTCTAATTTTGAACCAGGAAGATATAACACGTGGCAAAAATGGTTAATTACTATATTTACGCGAGGGACTTTTCGTTCTCGACCCTCAATAATAAGTATTACCACACCAACGGTTTGAAGACTCTCGAACAATTCAAACGGGACGTCGAGAACATCAAAGAAGAACAGTCACTCGCTGGAGAGGCTCCGGCGGAATCTAAGATCGTTTACTTGCACTGGGGAGATGACTGTTGGGATGTAGATGAAGATATTATTAGAATGGCGTACGTGGATCAGGAGTGTGAGCGAATGGGCACAGACCCGGAGTGGATTATCAAACACCTACAGAAGAAATACGTAGTCCATGAAAACGATAGAATCAAGCTACTGTACATTATCACGGACGGATTGATCTGTAAAGAGAGTGCCGAGAAATGTTTCAAATATAACGAATTCATGCAATATGACACGGTCGTTTTCCACGCACTCAATGAACAGACAGAAAACATAGACTTCTCAGTAGCCGCTTCATTCTTCAAGAGCCGTTGCATGGTTTATCGTAATTACAAACTTCTAGTCAGCACAGATATTTCTAAAGAATTTGATTACGATAAAATCGATATACACAACTTCACAGCTAAAAAAGATCAACTGAAGTCTTATATCACGTTGAAGTATATTAGTCAGTTTAATTCAGATGCTGAGAGTTTACAAGAAATAGATCAACTTAAGATGATGAGAGAAAGATTGTTTGACAGAATAAACAGTGAAAGAATCGCTTTGAGCCATAATGATCGTAACAATAAACTTATGTTGACCTTGATGGTCATGAAAGTTGACATTGAAAGGTCAATTTCATCCTTGATCACCTACATCATGAGCAATGTGAGATCTTATTCATTTGACGCCTTGACCTTTGATATGGAGACGGATGAAGGCTTTGAAGACGAACAAATAGATGACTCGGATTATGCAACGGAAGAAGAGTGTGAAATCTTCGACTTTACTCTAGAAGATGATGTCGGAATACCTGAGTCCCGCACAAACAGGAGGATGGTGTACGCGACTTGAGGCAGTATTATTACATCAATTTGACTATTGTTTCTAAATAGTCATAGACTATTAAAATAACTTGTCTTAAACACAGTTCCTACTAGCATTTATAATGTTGTGTTATTTTGTGTGTGAGAATTACAAATAAATAAAATTAAGTGCATGATAGTTCTGTTGTTCCTTATTTCAAATTCCAATAGCTTCACGTTAATTTCAAATACCTATGTTCTATTTTCTTTTTAAATAATTACTTATCTTTTATAACCTTGTAAACTTATCTTATACATTCATTTCATTTGATATTTTTTTATTATTTAAAAACAATAAAAGATAAAATTCATTCATCAGATATACATTTGTTTGTTAGTTCCTGTAGTAGAAGTACTCATACATGTGTTATAATACGGAATACCCATCAGCATTGATAATACATTTGTAAAGATAAAAATGAAGAAATATTAAATAAATCCTTGAAATTGCAAGTGGTCGTCATAAAAATCGTTAAGCTCTATTAATGCACTTGTTACCACCCTATAACTGACAATTTTTAAATTCTTTTTACTATTTGCACGTCCTGCATATGCTTTAATTGTTAGCTTTAACTTTGTTTCATGACATACGGAACGTTAATAATTTTTGATTCATAAATTTGTACATATTACGTTATCAAAGTAGGTTATTATGAGACAGAAAATACTTATAATGAAAACTTTTGCTAAGAGTATATTTTTTTACACCCTTAATCAGGAACCCTCTATGAAACCTGTAATTCATATTTTTAACATATCTAAGTGATAATTAGTTCTACTGATGTCTGGTAAAATCAATATCAAATTACAACTTAGTGCTTACAAATCTTTAATACATTTCTTAGCCTTAAAACTGTAATTCTAATGAAAATTAAAAAAATACCTAACTTATTAATATTTACGCTTTCTGTCGATTATCTTGTTCATTTGTAAGTTTTTCAATACGCCGTCTTATTTATTGGCGGGAATAATATAAACCCACTCATAAATGTATCTAATCCATCAGTGATAGTATTTAAAACATATGAACCGTGACGAAGTAAACGGGTCTCAGTTGTGGCTCGTCTGATAATGAATTTCAATTTCATACTCATTGCACGCACTAGAGACTTGTTTGGGAGCGCAGATATATGATGGTGCTAAATATATTTAGACAGAACATTCCCAAAAATATTTTTAAGAGCATTTACATATTACAGTTTCATATACATTTCTGATCGTTTTATTCTTAAGCCAATAAGTTTTCTTAAATTTAATCGGTCTAGATATTTTAATAATATCTCCATTAAAAATGTAAAGTACGACCCAGATTTATAACGTATCTCCCTAGTTTAAATTTGTATTGCAATGTAGAAAAGTATTTCAATTATTATATGTAGTATAAAAATCCATGTACTCTCTAAAATGTTTCTAACTCCATACTTTCGATGTTATAAAAATCGGAGTAAGGATGGCAACCCTTCACTCTTATTCGGTCTACACTTCCGATCAAAATGGACAAAAACAATGAGAAGATCTGTGAGAAAAAATTAAAAGCCGCTGAGATTAAATTAAATAAAATCTTGAGGAAGATTAATTTGCTTAAACTCAACAACTACGATATTTCCAGGATAGATTTACCACAGAATAAAGAGGGAAAGAAGTTTATATATTTTAATGGGTGGTTGAAAAATTTTGCTATTTTTATCATGGTATTCGCTGGTGTTATAGTGAGCTTGTGGTGGCATTACTCTCAATTCTATCCAGTAAGTAATTTTCATTGCATGAATTTTTAAACTTATAAGAAAAACATGAATTATTATTAAAAAATTTAAACCGATTTTTTTTATTTTCCATATGAAAGAACATCAAATAGTACCTTTAATTTAATTAAGATACTTTGCTTTCTTTTTAGTAGTACTTTTTACGACAAAATTGTATATTTAGTCCAATTTTTTGCTTCATCAGACCATATATTATATAGCAAAATATAATTTTCTTGCGTAACATTATATTTTATTTATCTTATAATTCCCCAAAAGCCTTTCTGACATTCCAGAAAACAAACATGATTTTTATTCGTATATTAATATTCCTATATTAAAAGATATATCTATAATAGTCCACCTGCTCACCTCAACACTAACGTTTGAATACAAATGTAGACCAACCTTCACTCTCAACATGATTTATACCTTATGCTTGTACGATTCCTCCGGCGAATGCCTAACGCCATAACATCCTCAACAGAGTGATTAAGAAAATAGTCGATTTCAAATGCAGAAGATTTAACGATTAATAATAATCATATTTAATGCAATATATTTTTTATGTGAAAGGTGGCAAACGAGCAGACGGTATTTACCGTCGCACATGGACATCCGCAACATCTTTGTTGCAGATTCGTAGCCAACCTTGTTTTTTTGGAACAGGGAGGGGTGGGAATAAGGAAATGGTAGGAAAGGCTCTCTCTCACTTATCGGACGAAACGCAGCCATTAAAGATTACTTCACGCCGATCTTCTGCAACAGGGTTATTCGATCGAGCAAGCCATTGTTCGAGCTGTAGTAACTGACCACAACTAGGCTCTATCACCTATAATAATGAATTTTTTTTTCGTCAGAATTGTCTCATCCCTCTACCCCTGGACTCCAAGTCACTGTTCCGTTCTCCAGAAGATTGTTCCATGTGTGTCAGAGTGAGAGACGTCATCCGCTTGGCTAACATTACGGCGGAAGAGTTTGAAGAAGACTACGCTTACACGACACAACCTGTCATAGTTACTGATGCTACTAAACATTGGAAAGCTATTCAAGTATATATTATTATTATTATCGTACCCTTAAAATATTATTTATGCTTAGTAAATGGGAAGCAAACTTGCCAAGTAAAAATTCTTAAACTGTCATTTAAGTACTCTTCTGACACTTGCACTTACGATAAGTTTGTTTAAAGGGACATATTCAATATTAAAATTAATTTAAATTATGAATAAATTAAAATTTATACACATTTTTTTACATTAAATTACTCAATTAATGTGAATTAAATATTTACAAAGTTTGGTAGGTAATTGCATTTAAAATATAATCTTTATTTTTATAACTTAAATCCATCCGGTAAAACTAGAAGGCAAAGTACTTAAGTTGTAGATAATTTTATATAAACGAACCAAGTGTTAAAAAACAATACCAGAATCTTTATTTACAATAAATTCACAATATTTTTCCATAGATATATATTTCATCTTGTAGCTGTGTATTGCTTTTTAATAGGACTGAAAGGCAATGACAAATAACAGTTACTCTCCTTTTACAGCATTTTTTTTTGTTTCCAGGAATTTAGTTTCGATTTCTTCTCAAAATTCTACCGCACGACCAAGATGGGTAGAAAAATAAACGAGTGCTTTTACTTCGCTTATAAATCGGGTTTAAATTCGTTGAACGAGGTCTTTGCTATGGATGAGAGGAGGGTTAACCTGTCAGGCGAGCCCTGGTACGTGGGATGGAGCACGTGTTACGAGGAAGAGACTCGTGCTTTAAGACAATATTATGAGAGACCATACTTCTTACCAAAGACGGCGGAAAGCGATATGGTCGACTGGATCTTTATGGGAGGTCCGGGACAGGGCGCACACATGCACGTGAGAATTTATATACATTCCACGAAGTATATAGAAAGATAGAAGCTTTCAGCCCGCAGCTTATCCCGCGTGGAGTTCGGTTATATCGCGTTACCAAGAGAACCTTTCAAAAGTCTGGGATAAAAACTATCCTATGTTCTTTCTCAAAGTCAACTCTATCTCTGTACCAAATTTCATCAAAATCAGCTCAGTGGTTTAGGCGTGAAAGCGTAACAGATAGACAGAGTTACTTTCGCATTTATAATATTAGGAGGGATAGTAATTATTAATATGTATGTGTTATTCTCACTTGAGTAATGAGGGTTTAAAAGAATATATGCGTGTGAATTTTTATTAAACAAGAATTTAAATCTATTTCACATTTTAGTATCTCCAACAATGTTATATAGTTAGACTGTTAATATTCCCTAGTGGTTAGAGGCCCGCCTCTCATGCATGAGGGCGCGGGTGAGATCCTGGCAAGTATCTATGTGATTTTTTCGAATCATATGTACTTTCTAAGAGTAATTAGACATCACTGACTGATGAAGGAAAACATCGTAAGGAAACCTGGACTTATAATTTCACAATTATAAGTTTGAAATCGCCAACCCGTCTCAAGAGCAAGCGTGGTGATTAATGTTCAAACCTTCTTCATGTGAGAAGAGGCCTTGCTCAGCAGTGGGCTCTGATAGGCTGATGATCATATTTTTCCAGGTGGACTCAGTCCGTCACATGTCGTGGCAGGCTCAAGTCCGCGGTTCCAAGACCTGGCAGCTGGCTCCTCCGCCTGAATGTCTTTACTCATGTAAATGGATCACTTTCACCGTACAACCAGGGGATATACGTATGTAACTTTAATAACCACGAATCACTCATGTAGTATGTATACAATAGATATAATACACTGTCTCACCTACCCCACTAGACGGGCGGCATGCGCTCGACAGTCTAACGACTAGCGCGGAGCAGAACGGGGACGTGCGTGTGCTCTAGGCGGGGTAGTAGTGAGACAGTGACTAGTTATACTTACATAGAGGTCCCTAGTCCTACAACTTATACAATAATTTTTGATAGTATGAAATTCACTCACATGTTTTAATTAAATAAATTTATTATGAATGTAAGTTACGTTCAGTTATAACAGTGAATATTTTATTCTATATAATATATTTAGTAAAAAAATATATTGTATTACTAATCTTCTGGTATATTTTTCCCAGTGGTGGTGGATACGAATCGTTGGTATCATAAGACGAATGTTCTGCCCGGAGACATCAGCATCACTATCGGAGCGGAATATGACTAATACTACAAGTATTCATTGTTTATAATAATATATTATTAATTGTATTTTATTGTTCTCTAATAAATAAAACAACATCATGTGCTACAAGAATTATATATTTGTTTGAACATCGGAAGCTACAATTATCTAAAAGGATTACACGGTCACTGTCTACGGGAACTAACGTTCTATAAAATGTAATTTCTATTTGTAAGTATAGAGAGAGCCTCGGGTAAAAAAACAATCCTAAAAACCAGCTTTAAGTACATTTGAACTTATAAAAATGTTAAAAAAAACACAATAATAATAATAATAATATATAAAATATAGCATCGCTTAACTCCAAGTATATAATAATTAAATACAATGATCTACAATAACTCATACAATAGCCGACATCGAAATTACAAGGAAAAAGCTGATTCGGAGACATCGATAACGAATGGCTATAGTGAAGCCACTAAGAATTACATTTTAAATATTTAAATTTGGAACATTTAACATTAGTTTAACGGCTACATACGGCCAGCATCTTTATATTCGGCCATAATATAACATTTAAATTTGGAACACTCAATAACGGCTGTATAGTGTAGACTGTAACCCGCTCGGTTACTCCTCGGCCTGACCCGCTGAGTCTAGAATGATCTCGAACGAGAACGGCATGAAGAGGTAGCCCTCGCCCGCGTAGAACTTACTCTGGAACTCAACCCTGGAATGTAAAGACATTACATATAAGTTATAACTCTTTACTTCAATAAAATACGAAAATTTTAAATAGAAAATACTATATATTTTGCAGTATCCTAGTTTATAATATATAACAAAAATTTAAAAGAACTATATGTATACACATATGAATGCACTTATATTGGCAAATAGAAACACAAACTAAAAAAGTCAATACAAAACTTTTGATGACATCTAATAGAAAACTGGGTAATATTGATAACACGAATAAGAAAAATATTCAAATGACTTGTGTTATCCTACTAATATTATGATTGCGAAAGTTAGTGTGTGTGTATGTTTGTTACTTCTTCACGCTCAAACGGCTGAACCGTTTTTAATAAAACTTTGTATACAGGAAGCTGACGTCCGGAAATAACACATAACCTACTTTACATCTCGGAAATCCGCGGGTAACACCCCGGGGCGCAGCTAGTTATATACAAGTCATACAACACATGTACAATACATTCTGAAACAAATGTTGTATGTGTGTGTGTGTGTGTGTTAGTGTATGTGTGTGTGTATGTACACACCAGTGCAGACGTAGCGTGTGCAGGAAGGCGGATAGGCCTTCCATGAGCACGAGGATGGACACGGAAATGGCGGCCCAGCCCGCGAACACGATGTACAGGAAGATACCGCCCTCGTAGCTCGGAGACATGAGACCTAAAACACATATACGATGAGAAATACTTAGAGGTTTAACTTGATGAAGTATACATGATACAGTAATACGCAGCTTTACGCGAGGGATACGTTCCGAAGAAAATCGCGTTAACTGAAATTCGCGTATATCGAGGTTTATGATTAAACACAGTCAAAATTTAATACACAAATATAAAAATCATTTTAATCAATCACTTTAATTCTAAGAACACTATACAATACATAAGTACTCCTATTTTTTACGAAAAAATACATGTGTTGTCTTTTGGGTAGCGTAGGTAAAATAAGTTCATAACACCCAACACTATTTTTAATTGTTTGACACACGCTCAAGGCTACGTCATCATTATTACCTATACTCTGCAATATGTCCAAATCTGAATAAATTTTTAAAGTGGTCCTCGGTATATATTTATGGTATGTATGTATGTATATCCCCACCTTTCCTCAGCAACATGTTCCATGCGACCTCCGCCAGCTGCGCGTGCGCCAGAGACAGCGCCCACAGCCTCAGGTAGGACGCAGTATGTGAGACGCTCCCCAACACGTATTCAATAGTGTGGATCGCCTGCAAGTATACAATCATTATATATATCGGCGCTACAATCTTTAATAACGGATGCGACATGAAAATAATTTGAGGCCGTCATCAATTCTTATTAAACCTCATTAGTATTTATGATTATTGTTAAAAGTAAAACGAAATCAAAAAAATTTAAAAGGAAAGAACTATGTTTAAATCTTGGTATAAATATGACGTCTGGACGCACGACGGCAGAATTCAGAGTTCAGTGAGTGCGTATCATTGAAATATGTGATTATGAAGAACCTTCGAGAAATACAGGAGCATTAAGAACAATTGAAGTTTCATTTTAAAATATCATGGAACGCTCTGGAGAAATGACATTTGTTACGTCAGCGAGGCTGGCGTCTTTCTCTTTAAAAACAACGAATTTGTAATAAATTCCGTACATATATACTAGTTATCTGAGTTTAATGTAATAACCGGTATATGTTGATCGTACCTGGTGTATGAACACCTCTGTGATGTCTTCATCTCCGTGGTCGTGTGAGGGAACGGGAGCACCTCCGGCCGTACCGTTTTCGGCGCTCGCTTCAATGCTTTGGTGACCTTGAGCCTAGAAACATATATATAATATATATTAAACACCATGATATAAATATACTAGTATATACGTAGCTATATATACAGTAGGACCCCGATTATCCGGACCTCGGTTATCCGAATTCGCGATTATCCGGACTGCCAATCGCGACGAGTTTATTCTAACACTAGCTTTTGCCGCGACTTCGTCCGCGTGGAATAGTGACTTCTGGCAGATTTTTTGGTTCTTCCCACAGAGTTCCCGTTCTTACGGGGTTTTCGGAATGGTCGAGTTCCCGTAGAGTTTTCAGGATAAAACCTATGTTTTTTTTTAATTCACAATGAAGCACTCTTAACCGACAACATATTTATTTGTTTATTTGAATAAAGATTAATATTATTATGTTGATACAACTTAAACAAATTATTTCGACCTAATTAGGTACCATAAAAACGGTTTTTGTGAGTTTTCTATCTTAAAAGATAGAAATAATTTCTCCCGTTTTTTACACATTTACCACTATATCTTTGCTCCTATTGGTCGTAGCGTGATGTTATATAGCCCACAGCCTTCCTCGATAACTGGACTATCCAACACAAAAAGAATTATTCAATTCGAACCAGTAGTTTCGGAGATAAGCGCTTTCAAACAAACAAACTCTTCAGCTTTATAATATTAGTATAGATTAACATGTCAGGACTTGCATAACGCCACGCCACTCGTGCCGTCCGTGATTTTCGTTGATTCTCGCTCATATGTATTTGTTGTTTTAAATAAACACCTAACATTACATATGTATGGTACAGACTACATATGTACATATGCAAAAAGCCCGTTTTTCTTCATATATTGGATTATCCGGACTTTCAATTATCCGGATGCCTACCGACAACAATTAGTCCGGATAATCGAAGTCCTACTGTATGTAGCATCGATCAGCATATTTGTAGCGCAGAATAATACATTAAAAAACGAAAACTGATACATCTTGGATGTAATCATATTCTTATAGTTAACATAATAACTATGAGTCAAGTAACCTTCAGTATGTATAGTGCTATCATATACAGGGTGACTGGTGAATTACTATCAATATTTAAGGAGAATACTCGGTACATGATTCTCATTCCAATTATGTAAAAAAATAGGTACTTAATTTTTGACAAAATTTCCCTATAAATAAATAAAGTGTTGACACGTTCCAAGTGTTTAAGTGTGGACGCGCGCGGCGGCGTGCTGATACAACACCACGTCACGACACGCGTATGTGTGAGTGTCAGTGTATACCTAATCTGTAGGGTGTTCATACGATGCGTAATTAATTACACAACTTTTGGTTAACTTTACTTAGAAGTTTATTAATATTTATGTTATATTAATTTTTATTTTGTCATATATGATCGTCAAATATCACGTCCTCAAATATCGATAGTAATTCACCAGTCACCCTGTATAGTATTAATACTACATAATATATAACAGTACAGTGTTATAACTCACGGCTCGTAACTTCTGTTCCTTCCTGATGAAGTACGGCTTCCCGAACAACATGACGGGGACGCACATCAGAGCCAGGATCACGAACAACTGAAACAGATAGAGATTATACTTTAGATTAGTGTTTTTCAAACTTTTTGATATCACGACCCATTTACGGGTTGACAAATGTTGGCGACTCCCTTAAAAAAACAGGCAAGGAAATTCTTAGATTAAAAATTTAAAGACATATTAAAGTTAAACACATTCTCTACAATGGTGGACATTAAAACAAAAAGGAAAAATAAACTTCAATTACAAGTTGATTTGATAGATGATAATAATGTTTCAAAAATAACACCACGATATGACATGCTTTTGAAAAATAAACGAGCCAATCATTCTCATTAAAATTTGTTTTTTATCGTCGTGTAGAACTTTACACTTTTTCTTTTTTAAGTCTTCTCGACCCGTCTAGGGGTCGCGACCCACAGTTTGAAAAACACTGCTCTAGATAATATTAACACACAGAGACGAAACTTCTTAGTATTCAATGTATTCACATGCGTGTGTCTGGTCCATCGTTGTAGTGAGAGGAGCTTCAACAGTGACTGGGACTTGTAACCCAGGTGTAGGTTTAAGAGACCCTATTTAACGCGTTATACGCTTACCTCCACGGTTAAGCTCCTCTCACTACCTAACCAAATTTGAAAAGAACCTACTAGGGCTGCTTTCAATATACGTGCCAAGAATGTATTAATAATAATAATCAGTTATTTCAGACCACATTACTAAATCCATATAGTGTTAGTACAAATTAAACTTAATAAATAAATTGGTTAGTAAATTTACAAAAACAAAGCAAAAGCAATTTTATTTATGACACCTTTTTTTTAAGTAATTTTAAACTACACATATATTTTACTTGACTACGTGGAGTATTATCCAATGTGCTAACATTGGTGAATGCCAGCGATCCAACAATGCATGCAGGATTGTGTTGGGACTGTCCCGTAATTAATGGGAGTTCTTATACAAGTGTTTTATATATATATATATATATGGTGATGGTTTACCTTCTGTAGTCCTATCTGCCCAGCGTACATGGTGTCGTCGCACTGCGGGCGCGTGTTCTCGTCCGTCTTGAACAGCATCATGTTGATGAACGTGATCAGGATCGACGGCGCGCAGAAGCCGCTCGTCTTAACTGTACACACATACATACATAACTAATACATACTAAACTAATATATACTAGCTGCGCCCCGCGGTGTTACCTGCGTATTTCCGGGATGTAAAGTAGCCTATGTGTTATTCCTAGACGTCAGCTTCCTGTGTACAAAATTTTATCAAAATCGGTTCAGACGTTTGAGCGTGAAGAACTAACAAACACACTCACAAACTTTCGCAATTATAATATTAGTAGGATGTAAGAGTGTCCCATTTGTAGTATTGTAATAACTGCTTCAGACTGAATATCTAACGTTGTGTAATGTAAAGATACAATTTTATATTTATCTGTTAATCCATTTGCTCAGGCTAATAGAAATCTCTAACTGCGGATTCGATTTCGAGCGTGCTCTTACTAGCAGAATAAATAACTTGGACCATGTTTATATTAAAAATCCTACTAATATTATAATTGCGAAAGTTTGTGAGTGTGTGTGTCTGTTTGTTGCTTCTTCACGCTCAAACGGCCGAACCGATTTTGATAAAAATTTGTATACAGGAAGCTGATGTCCAGGAATAACACATAGGCTATTTACATCCCGGAAATCTGCGGGTAACACCGCGGGGCGCAGCTCGTAGAACATCAATGTATTACCGTAAGTCTCATCTCCGAAGTGTCCTGGCGTAGGTCCGTAGGAGGTCCACTTGATGAACATGAGCAGCACCATGTAGAAGAACAGCAGCGTGAGGAACAGGATCTGAGGGATGAACTCCACGTACACTGAGATGCGGCGCTTGAAGTACCTGGCAACAACAGATACACGTGTTAGTATTACTTCTTCTACCTGGCAATTTAACAGCTTTAGCCAGGGTCTGCCTAACATTTTTGGCTAATTGTTTTTTTTTACGACCAGCCGCCTGCCTGACATCAACCCTCTTTTTGGGAATGCATTAATTAGAGATGTCTATACATTGTTAGAAAGTACATATGACTCGGACAAATCACATTGGTACTTGCCGGGCCAGGAACGATCCCGCGCCCTCGGCAACGGAAGGCGGGCCCCTTAACCACTAGGCCACCACTGACTGATAATACGTGTTAGGGTTACAACTAGTATAAACTAAACAATTTAAATTGTCTCAGTTGTCTAAATAACTCACTAGGGGAGCCATTGTTTATGCCGAAAATGTCACTTTCGTTGTATTATACTCTCTCTCGTGTCAACTATTTGAACTGTATGTTATTATGATAATAAATATCAGTTTATCAATTTAATCCATTCTTATTTTCGCTCAATCCTATCAGTTAGTGTGTCTCGCCTTATGACACAGTATGTGACGGTGTTTTTATGTTTATTATACCTGTACGTCTGTATTATTTAATGGATTTGATGTTACTTTTATGTAACTTAAACATCAAATAGTATATAGTCTAATATTTATCCTGAAAATATTTGTAATCCGTTCAGGATCACTACATAAGGTTACTGTTAGACATGCTTTAAATAAGCATGCTAAAAAACGTGGTATTAGCCATTAGGTATGCTCCACACAAAACATGTTTAGGAGCATTTTCATTTGCGGGCAGTAAGCATGCTAGTTTAAAGTATGCTCCTGAATAAGCATGCTCAAAGCAAACGTTCTAAATACACATGCTTTTTTTATAGCATGCCTTTCTCGCTCTCTGTCAGTTCAAACAAAGACATTCACGAGTCGAAACAAACAGCTATCCGTATGGAGATGACTAAGATCATCCTTTTGCTGGCGAAGCAATGCACACAGAAACTTATATCAGGTCGCCAAAAAAAAAAAGCAAGTGTTAGATTGCTTACAGAAGATGTTTCGGGCTATAAAAATCATATGCGCATGCTACCGCAACAATTGGAGAGTTTAATGTCTAAAGTTAAACCCTCAATACAGAAACAAGATATCTAGCATGCTCAATAAACAAATCTGTTTAGACGTTCTTAAAGTACACCCCTTTGCACCCGCGACGCTAGTAGTGTGCTTAAAAATCGCATTCCTGCCGATTTTGAAGCATGCTCCAAATTAGCATGTTTATTTTAAGCAACACTTGGACACACATCACACAAGCAAACAGCAAATGCTCAATTAAAGCATGCTTTTGTGCTTAAAATAAGCATGTGTAACAATTTTATTGTGTGATGAGGTCAATATCGATTATATTTTAACACGCCATACATTTATCTATGAATACTATTAAAACAAAAAGCAATGACATTGATAAGGACAAGACTTCTATCAATACCTATGGGTATTTAAGTCAAGTCGGTTCAGAGTATTCTATGTATACATAAGATGACTTACAGATGGTTCCACAGTGAGAGACAGACTCCGAACAACATGTGGAACACGCCGATGATGATGGAGATCTTCATCTTGTACGCGTTCATGAAGATGATCTTGTTAGCCTCCGCCAGCTGGAATATACACACATACATAATTATATAAAGAGATGGACACAGACCATAAGGACTATAGGTCAGAATATAATGACAATAAGACCTAGTTTCACCAATCAATGTTAAATAAGTAACATCGTGTTAACGCGTTTGATGCTCTGTTAGATGTATCAAGCGTCCCACCACGCACAAATGTCCGTTTAAATGTCTTAACAAGCCACTAATATTAATTCCTGCTCTGGAGCTCCGTCTAATGGCTAACAGAATGTTAATGCATTGTCAAAACTCAATTGTCCAATCACCGCCCTGATTTCTCGTAACCATAGTAACGTCATCTGTTTTGTCAGTTTAGACTATTTCCTTGTTATTATTAATAAAGTGAATTAAAATTTCATTTAGTATCATGATTTTGCCTCCAGCTTTTCTTTGACGTTACGAATTAAGTTTTCTTTTTATCTCTTATAATTTAAACACAATATGTCTATATTCATAACAGAATAATACCATATAACACAATTTATTGACAACACGATTTTGACAAGTTACAACTAGTAAATTGAAAAGAAAGCTTTTTGTGTACCAAATGTATGCAACCAACGATATATAAAATTTGGTCGCATTACATAACAAGTGACGTATCGAGGAATATATACGATCAAAGTATAAAGTGGTGCATCGTGGCTAACGTGCCGTATTAAACGCTATAGTTTCAATTTGGTCGTCCTATAACAAGAACGAATAATTTGGTAGCCGGTCATGTAATATGACGTTTAACAATGCGTTGTTAATTTGTCATCGTGGAACGTTAATATTTTAACAGACATTTATAATTTTGAAGGTGTGTTAGTAAATGTCATGTTTAGATTAAACAAACATTGATTGGTGAAACTGGGTCTTAGTTAACTCATTATTATCATAGTATAGTATAACAGTGACCTGCCACACAGGATCTATGCCGAAGGGGTAAGGTATTTGCACGTAGTCATCGGAATCAGGATTCAGTTGCAAATCCTTGTTGGTGAGTAGCGTGGACTCGTTGTAGTTGTTGCGCCACGACGAGCCGAATATGTTGAGACTCTTTGAAAAGATGTCGTTGTAGATGATGCCCGTGTACATGGAGAACAGACCCATCAGAAGGATGATGTAGCGCCCGCCGAAGAAGATGGTCCAGATCTGTAGCGGGTATAACATATAATATAATAAATACTAGCTTTTCACCCGCAGCTTCGGAGGCGTGGAGTTCGGTTATATCGCGTTTCCAAGAGAACCTTTCAAAAGTCCGGGATAAAAACTATCTATGGGATAGTTTTTACTTTCTTTCTCAAGGTCAACTCTATATCTGTACCAAATTTCATTAAAATCAGTTCAGTGGTTTAGGCGTGACAGCGTAACAGACAGACAGAGTTACTTTCGTATTTATAATATTATAGTGCGTTTGATTTAAGCTGAGCTTTGCATTTGTGAGTGCATACGGATAGTTTAGGTGAGATGTCAAATTTTTGAATACAACGTTCTTTTTTAGTTTTAAACCGGTTTGTACTGCTTTTACTTCGCCCCGCACCTTCCGCACTTCACCTGTACTGGTAGCAAAATCAAATGTTGAAAACGCAATGTCAAGTAAAGAAGAATATGTATAGTTTTTCAAATTTTTTATTAATTAATATTTTTTTCCATAATAATCATATTTTCATCTGGCTTTTAACAAGTTTTGCTTATTTAATAGCATTTATGTTATGTATCAATTTAAATATATAATAAAATTGAATTCTAAAACTTTTCTGTCTAACTCTACTTTTACTTTCACTCACACAAATGCAAAGCTCAGCTTAAGTCTAACGAACTATAGTAGGGATACATAATAGACTATTATAGTATAGGAGCCTATTTAGTGTGTATGTGTGTATGTGTGTGTGTGTGTGTGTGAGCCGCTCACCTCGCTGTCGATCCTCTTGGCCTGCAGCGGCTTCTCCTTGTAACACATCCAGAAGCCGAAGGCGGCCATGAGCGCTCCATGACCAAGATCACCGAACATCACGGCGAACAGGAACGGAAACGTGATTATGGTGTACGGAGCTGCAAACAGACGCACGGTTAGTCATATCTTTATATATATAATTCTTCTGTGAGTGTGTATGTCACTGAAGTTCTCTCAAACGACTGGACAGATTTTGATGGAATTTTTTGTGTGTATTCAAGGGGATCTGAGAATGGTTTACATTCACAATTTTGTCCGCTGGACAATGCTTTTTTAATTAATTTTTAATTTATTAGTAGTTTTTGATACAAACGTTTTTTTTACATTATATTTGACAACTAACTAATATGTCGATCATTCTGTAGCACTTCAAAACACGGAGATTTATGGCTTTAATAGGTGAACTCCAAAAATATAAATATAAAAATGTAACAGATATTTCTTGATTATAGGGCGATACGAAGTTCGCCGGATCTTCTAGTACAGTAATACCCCGCTTTACGCGAGGGATACGTTCCGAAGAAAATCGCGTTAACTGTAATTCGCGTATATCGAGGTTTATGATTAAACACAGTCAAAATTTAATACACAAATATAAAAATCATTTTAATCAATCACTTTACTTCTAAGAACACTATACAATACATAGGTACTCCTAATTTTTACGAAAAAATACATGTATTGTCTTTTGAGTAGCCTTTTTTTTTACGTTCTTGTAAAATACGTTCACAACACCAAACACTGTTTTTAATCGTTTGACACACGTTCAAGACACGGTCATCATTATTGTCTATACTCTGCAATGTCCCAACCTGAATAAATTTTTGAAAATCGCGTTATAGTGAAACCGCGCACAACGAGGTCGCGTATTATATGAGGGGTCTACTATATATACAGTGTTCTTTATGTTAGTATGTTCGACTGACCAGGGTTGACCTCCCGGTAGGTGGCGACACCGTATGCGTATATAAGGTGCTGGAAGGCGGACGTGAACTTGTTGGTGCGGTTGTACGTGGGCGGCGGCTCGGTTGTGTCCATGCGGTTCAAGATAGGAGGGACCGAACTACCGCTGCGCTCCTGGAAATAAAAATCAACTATTTTATATATATTTCATTTTTATTGTTAAATTACTATGCTATTGTGGTGTCCAATAAAGTATATTATTATTATTATTATTATCAAGTGGTTAGTGACTGGCTCTGGCACACGGATTTATGAACAACTGTTAAGGTCATTTCAGTATTGACTTAGGATTGATATCATAGACATGAATTATAATAAGTATTTGGTTAAATAAAACTAATATATTCGAATTTACTACGCGCTTTTTATTATTTTAACTACGTACTTTGCAGAAAACGTGATCGCGGGATGAATATTTTTTCGTAGAAAATCCTAAAATTTTATTTAAAAAACATTCGCGAAAGTCTCAGATGTCATTAAGTAATTAGTTGTTGATAACTTATGAGTGTAATAATAACTTATAAAACAATATCTTTGGCATTTAACATAACTGTAATATTCTGCCAAAACTTTAATCTGATTATGCCAATATATATAATATTATTTTGCCAATACCGTTCCTCTCCGTAGAGCCAGCTGTATGGTCTCCATGTCCAGGGCTGGCACCCAACACTCGGCGATGAGACACTTCTGTGTAACGTCCAAGTTGAACAGATTCAACGTGTGGTAGATGGCCTTGATTTTACGGACTTTCACGAACCAGTTCTTGATGTTCTTGGCTGCGGCGACCAGCACGCGGTGACGGTGGTCTTGGGTTTGGCCCAACACCTGCAACATATACATATATAGATTATAATGAAAATATGCAGAAGTATTGAGGAAGTTTATAGTAGAGTTTTGGTTAGGTAGAGAGGAGCTTGGACGGTGGTGGTGAACATTTAACGCGCGTTAAATAGAGCCTGCAGAATATTTACAGCTTATAATCCATAGGAAGGAATTAAAGAAGTTTATAGGAATTTACTCTAATTTATAGGTAATAGTTTTGGTTAGGTAGAGAGAGTAGCTTGGACGGTTGACGTGAGCGTTTAGATAGTGGCCCCTTAAACCTACACCTTGGTCGCATGTCCCAGTCACTGTTGAAGCTCCTCTCCCTGCAACGATGGACCCGACACCCGCACGGTGAATACATTAAATGCTAAGAAGTTGGGTCTCAATTATTGTTAAATTTTACAATTGTAAGAAAAAAGCTCTTCTTCAGGTGTTTGTCCCCGAAATTCTATTTCATTTAGTATATCTCAATAACTGAATTTATTTTATCCTGTTTACATTTGAATAGCGATGTAGGTAAGCAACTTAACGAATAACCTCGGCAATATTTATTAAACCTAATATCATTTCAACCGACCTCAGTACTGTAATAGTCATGTTAATTTTAAGCCCGTACACACAGTATTTAACACACGCGCCACATAAGCCAGGGTCTAACACTCAACAAGACTATAAAGAGCCTTAAATGTAATGGTCGTTGTTTAAGATTATATTCCGTTATCACGAGATTACATCGGTACATTTCATAACTCAGATACACATCTAGAGCCGGTAATGAAGATTAATGTTTGAATAACTTACACAAATAATAAAACTATTTCAATTACCTGCAAAGTCATATAATTTGTGGTATAAATAGTTGTATAATGGACTCTACATATGTCCGAATTATAGAATTTAAAATGACTTTATTTTGTGTGACTTAAATATTGTTATATACATATTTTCTATATAAGTCAGATGGGGTCAATGACATGACAGTTATTAATTAATTTTAAATTATTATTTTATATGTATGTATATAATGTAATCCCTACTAATATTATAAATGCGAATGTAACTCTGTCTGTCTGTCTGTCTGTAACGTTTTCACGCCTAAACCACTGAACTGATTTTAATGAAATTTGGTACAAAGATAGAGTTGACCTTGAGAAAGAACAGGATAATTTTTATCCCAGACTTTTGAGAGGTTCTCTTGAAAACGCGATATAACCGAATTCCACGCGGGCGAAGCTGCGGTCGGAAAGCTAGTGTCTAATAAAGATCCATACTAGAATATATTCATGCAATATTTTAAGCACACACATTGCTACTAAAAGTTTATTAGTTTCTAACACAGCCATTTCTATTATTCTAGTACATATTTATGCTAACCATTTTAACAAAAACTAGCCACTTTCAAATATCCTATGATAATTCTAATCTTTATACGTGTACCCACCGTGTTGAGGTCTTCTATTCTGGTCATGACACCCATCGCCATCTCTCGTCTGTCAGCGGGAGCTTCCGGGCATGGGTATAAGGTAGCGCGGAAACCTTCACAGATCTTCTTCACGCGGGTCTTGAGCTGGTCTCCTTGGAAGAAGATGATGAACACTGACTTGTACACCTGGTCAGACTACGGAGAAGAATTGAGAAGAATAGATTTAAATCGATGTAAGGATGGAGAAGAATTAAGAAGAATCGATGTAGTTGGTCCTTTGTTTGATACAAAAACGATGTATTAGTAACCCAAAGTTAAGTTGGACCATATTTAAATTATTTGAAAGAAACTTAATGTTCTTCGGATTGCTTCGCTTATTTTATTCACATCTCGTCTGCCCGTGATCGCGGTTGCTGAAAAGTAACTGAAACGTCGGGAGTATGTAGTTTTAAAATAAGCGTAGTAATTTGAATATTAGTAGTTTGATTTAAATGAATACTCGCGAAAGTGTGTAGTGTAGTAGTAGTGTAGTGTTTTTACTCACCGATGAAGGGTCTTCCAGAGGCGTGTCAATCTCAGCCTGCCTCAGGAACACGTTCCCTCGACACGCACGCCACAGCATACGCTCAAAGGCGGGAATTCTCTCACGGAGAATAACTCCGGCGACAAAACTGCGCGTGAAACGTGACTTAGAACGAGAAATATATGTACAGAGAGATCGTTCGTTTAATGCTGTGCTGATTGTATTGTATGGTATATATGTACATCATGGAAATTATGCTTTATATAAGTTTGCACCTTCACGCTATATACGGATATTTTTCGATTTCACTGTAGCTTTTAGCCCTAATGGCTTTGACAGCGTTTTAAGAGGTGTGTGTCCTTATGGGACCAACCCGTTAAATTCGGGTCTGAAGGGCCCGGGAGATTCTGCTTACAGCGCGTTTGCCGTTTCGGTTTGTAAGAAAAACTTGCAACTCCGTATGTAGTGTGAAGATGAAAACTTATAATAATAATAAATACTCGCACGGGAACGATCTCAAACTATAAAACATATGCTATATGATACTAAGGAAATTAAGCCAAAAAAATAAATTTCCATCAGTTATATAAACTTTTGTAGGTAAAAAAAATCTATTGTTGCAAATAGTTTAACGTATTAATTTAATGCAGTTTGTAAACAACGAAAATTTTAATAACTATGTATAATTTGATTAAATTTATTGTTATCTAGAACTATATACAATTTTTGATAATTAATATATATTCCTTATATAATGATATGCATATTATTTACAAGCTGCAAAAGAAAGGACGTTGATGGTTGGTAAGGGGTACTATCTCCTAATTAATGACTTTTTCTTCTTAAAGTTATACTACATAGTAATACAATCTTATTATTTTATTTTTCTCGTAAAACTATACTTTTAAGTTACTTCAACTGTTTTTCCTTACTTATATAAGTATTGAAAAACTCATCAAGGACTAAGAATTAATCTAATCAGAAGTTAATCCGATATATTTTTTTCAAATTAAATCTTAACTGATATGAAGGATTATAATTGAATATATAATTGATATCGCAAAGAATTTTCGACGACCGTAACTCATTATATAAGTACATATTGCTAACATATTGTTTTTAATACATTGCTAAAAGAATCTAATTCAAATTTTAGTCCAACAAATACTTATTAAATTTTATCTTTCTTATTCTGTCTTTATGTCTACAGCGTCAGAACTCAGATGTACACATGTTACTGTATTGTTAAAAATTGTCTCCGTGACTATTGTTTAAATGTTCAACTATCATTTTAAGTTGTAGTTCGTGTAATGAAAATAACTAACTAACTTGTTTTACTCTTCACTTATTTTGAAAAAACCAAAGTATCCGTACTAATATTATAAATGCGAAAGTAACTCTGTCTGTCTGTCTGTTACGCTTTCACGCCTAAACCACTGAACTGATTTTAATGAAATTTGGTACAGAGATAGAGTTGACCTTGAGAAAGAACATAGGATTGTTTTTATCACAGACTTTTGAAAGGTTCTCTTGGAAACGCGATATAACCGAACTCCAAGCGAAGCTGCGGGTGGAGAGCTAGTTCATAATAAATGTATAAACAATTTTTTAGTACATTTTATAGTGATATATTTCGATAGTTTTCTTAGTCATTGTTAAGGTAATTTTTAGTCGTAATATATCATTGTTGAAGGCTTTAGAATTTTGTGTGTTGAATATCCATTGTCTTCATTCGTGAGAGTCATTAATAACTGGTTAACACAAGGCTTTATTTCAATACATTGTTAAAACATCTGTATATTCAAAAAAGATACTTCATATTAACATATTACCGTATTCTCAAAGTACAATGTGTAATTATCATTTGAAAAATAATTCCGATAGAATTTCTAAAGAAACTTCGAGGCAATTGCTATGTAATAAATATTATATTGTATTTTTACTTATATAGAAATATTAATGACGTAAAAACACGGAAATATAGCATAAGATAATGATTGAGTAATATATATTTTAATATATGTACAAGATAACGTTTCAACTTCAAGATCATCTGTGTGCGTCAGCTGACATTACACATATTATTGACATTAGTATTAAAAGTGAATTAAATCTGTGCATTTGTCGCATAATGTATTGTGCATTCACATCACGTGGACACATAAATACTCTGTGCATGAATCTCAAATGACGTGCAACGACCTTATGTAATAAATTTTATGTACAATTCTGATGTTACTTCGGTTTTATATGAGATTCATCAAATGAAAAAAAAAACGACTAATTACATAAACCCGTCTGGTTTATTTCTGTTTTCCTCGAACTAAAGATTTGAGATGAGATCTTCAATACAAAATCTACCTTATTGTATGTATTTAAAGATGAATTTAAGTTCCTCGTATATATTTAATAATCCTACTAATATTTGTGAGTGTGTGTGTATGTTTGTTACTTCTTCACGCTCAAACGGCTGAACCGATTTTGATAAAATTTTGTATACAGGAAACTGACGTCCAGGAATGACACATAGGCTACTTTACGTCCCGGAAATCCGCGGGTAACACCGCGGGGCGCAGCTAGTAATATTATATACGTCGCTAGTGTATGTTGGCGAGTGTTCAAATGTCTGTCTGCTGTCTCCTCGTTTATGATGTTTAAAACATGCGGGCCGAAGGACGACGTCGGTACGAGAATAATAATGTTATGTTCAATATTTATGCAATACTGATCGTGATTTAAAGAACTAATTCGATATATGAAGAAAAAAAAATCATTGGAAATTATAAGTATTTATTTTACGAGGAATTTATCAGCCTATCAGAGCCCACTGCTGAGCAAAGACTTCTCACATGGAGAAGATTTGAGCATCAATCACCTTACTCAAGACGGGTTGGCGATTTCAAACTTATACGAGAAATATAAAATTAAAATCAATTTAATCAAATATAAAAATTTACCAACAATCAACGTCTATATATAATAATCCTCAATAATATTCTAGTGCCTTACATTCATAGCAAACGCCGCGTACATTTCAAAAACCTCATTATTTAACCAACTGAGTATATGTGTGTTATGAAACACTATATGAAAAAACCGTATACCCCAGTTCTGCTATCTCAATATGAAGACTTTATCGTACAATGTTTGATATATTTGATAGTACTGAAATTTAATTCTATTTTTCCATATAAATCTTTCCCACGGTACATTTGTTGATACTTTTTTGGGTCAAATGTGTTTATTATCAATATCTTATCACAAAGATTCAAAGATCTTTAAGTGTTATACATATATATTATATGTATAAAAAAATTATTAATGTATAGAATATTATTACAAGTACAAAAGAGACGTTCTTTATGGCTTATGTTAATAAATTTTAAGGATAAAAAATAGATTTTTAATTAAGACTTACGTTGAAATTACGCTTCAACGAATAATGAACAAAAAATATAAGTGGACGTTAGTTTTGGCAAATAAAGAATTAAATTGACTCTATAGATATCTTTCATACAATTTGTCTGTTCGTTCAACCGGCACGAACTGTTATATTGATTAAGATTTATACTTATATAATGATATGCTCAAATCTTTGAGGTCTTAGTAATCGAAATTTTAATTGATTCTTTATGAAAAAGATTTCCTTTGGAATATGTACAAGTTATTTTATTAAAAAAAACTATCCAATATTGAGAATTGACTGAAGAAAAGGGACTTAATTAATTCTTTATATATATGATTTTAAAAGCAAAGTTCTTATAACTTCATCAATAGTATGCACATAGAAGTACATACATAATATATTATGTAATTTGCATGTGTGTGTGTGTGTGTGTGTGTGTGCTTTCAATCGTCTCAACACACATTTAAACTTAGTCTATACCGAGTACCGAACACATTGAACAACAAACACGATGTTTATAAACTGACTGTATGTACATTGTTACGACAAATATGAGCAACACTAACGATTTATAAAACATGGGACCGTGTACACTCAAATTCTTAAAAGATACTCTATGCATCCTGTGATTGAGGTTTAGAATGATTTATACATACATATATACAGTCTCTGTGTGTGTGTATATGTGTGTGTATACCCTCAACTTATGTACGTAATGCTTTTGTATTAACAAAATCCGAACGCCATAAGAATATATCAAACATGGTACAAAAGGAAAGAATATATACATCGAGGAGTCACAGAAGGTTGGAATATATGAAAGCCTTTACTGTGTACAGTACGTAACTCAGTTACAAGTTTGACGGCGATTACTATGAATATGTAGGGCTAGATAACTTAATATAATACCGGCCATACACGCTACGGTCCACCGGAGAGATCACCTGTGCAGGTAGACCGGAATGTGTGTGCGAATAGACCTGTGCAGTTTTTTAAACGCTACCATTGTTCGATCGACCTGCACAGGTATATGTGCACAGAGTACCTCTTTGATAGACCGTAGCGTGTATGTCCGGCATAATACTGATAGTTTGAAACACTCGTACCAAGACGCTGTTAGGATCGATAGATATGTAGTTGTCGCAGTCACAATGTTCAATTGGGAAATATGTTAAACGTCTTGTGATTACGAACTACCAAATCCAGCATTTACATTATCTGCACCTAATCCATTATCTATTCTTGAAGTCCAAATTATCCAGATATTTAACTGTTTGTCGATATGTGATTGTGAACGGTGATGTGTTAGTAAGCATATCTCGTTTGACTATTAAATGTTAATACTACAACGACATTATCTACTGGTATTTTTATACTATACAAATACTAATGAGACAAATGAATATTATTAAAAAAATATAACAAAAAATACCAATATCTAATTATCGATATATAGCTAATGTACATAAAAAACCCTTTACCAAAATATAAACAAAAAAATACGGACTCCCACATATAAGTAAAGCCAACTATATAACAATTTACATTAAGCTACTAACCACGGCAGGAATTCCAAGGACTCTTGTTTATCCCGAAAACTAGAGTAAACCAAGCAGACATGTTAGCATTATATAAACTCATCAAATGATATTATAATTAATACGGTCTCTGTGACCCGGCTTTACATGCAGGCGTTCTATCACATGGGACGTACGGCCAGGGAAATGACGTCAGAGCAATATCTCCGCCTCATACCGAGAGCAAAGTAAATATTTATCGAGCCATCAGTACGTTATAAAATAATAAAAACGTCCCGTTTGTGTGAACAACTTAATAGATCTGAAACTGCTGACGGCTCAGCTCATAATATTATTATTATTACGTAGTACATTGATCGTCTTGACTAGTGCATGTATGATACATACCCTAGTTGGACCTGTCCCATATGTCTGTTCGGGTCGTCGGATATGAGAGCCCGGGTCATTGACTCAGTGGTATTGGCACCACCCTCGTGCTGGGACAGACAAACATGTACACATACAGACACACACGTACACACCACGACGGCTCACATTTGCGTGTTGTAGTAAAAAAATTAGCACCAACTCATCATCATCATCGTATGTAATACTCTCAGTGAAGCTGCCAGCTGTTAGTCTACATGAGGTATAGTGACAGTGATGATAACACTAAGTACTCGACCGAGGTGGACTAGGAACATTAACTGAACATAATGGCATGCAGTGACGGGTACAGAAAGCGTGAACAATGATCCGAGCGACCCGCGCAGTACGGACGGACTTCAAAAATAAATCGATAAATAGGGCAGTGTTAGTCAGAAGTCACTCAGGCAGGGCGGCCCGCGGCGAGCCGGGTTAATATCGACAGGGTGACACACAGGGTATAAAGAGCTGTTAATCTGATAGTATACTATAGACCGGCTGTCTCCAATGCTTGCCTGAGTGGTGACCGGTAGACTCCCGTATCAGCGTCACAGTACAAGCGCTGCAAAAATAACACCGAGCTAGGACCGGCCCTGAGTTACAGTCAGGAGCGGTCGTAGCTGATAGCACTTATATATACTGCATACCCCAGCTTGAGCGCTTGCCCTCCCGCCATCAGGCCCTCCTCCCCCAGGAGGGTGACTTGTTCCTCCTCGCGCGACGGGTCCGCCATCTTATGCACACAGACGCGTCATGAGCTAACCTCACATTCACGGTCACATACATCGACTGGACGATCCAGGATCGTATGGACTCTCATTACTTATATTAAACCGTCTAATGTGACATCAGCTCGTACATGTCGTTCGAGGGATATATATATTGTATAGCGGTACGCTTAAGAAGACCCACGACCTCGTTATAGAGACAGAACAGGTGTTAACAGTATACATAGCTGTGCTCACAGTTTTAGTACACGACTTGTATACTCAGGCTCACCGAACATATGAGACATCGATAAAAAAAAAAGAAAAAAATAACAAAAAAAATATATGTCATGAATTGTTTGAATTTAACATCAATTAACGTTATTGGGGCTAGTTTTTTTCTACAACAGCACATAATCTACTGTTCGTATATAACATTATATGGAGGTATGACAACTTAATGTTTCAACTAAGCCGATTGTATGATGAAAAATTGTTCTGATGGTCATAATTTATGTGGCATCACGAGGCCAGCGTTAAATATTATCTTATCAACATATTATTATAGTGCTGGTAACGAGGGATTCTGTGTAAGTATTTCAATGTATCATACCTCGTCGAAGAACACTTGCGTCTTCCTCAATATATGCTTCAGCTCGGTCAGTTCCAAGTAGTTCCTCTTCAAAGCCTCAGCGTTCTGATTCACTTCCCGAAGTTCATTTTCAAGTTTCTCAAACGTAGCCTGTATTCACATTAGTTATACAGCTCAAATCCCATTGAACAATAATTTTAATTACAATATTTATATAGATATATATTGCCCTACATATTACTTCATGTAAATTTTGTATAATTATTTTCATCGTTAACAATACATTGTTCAAGTAACACCGTGACATAACACAAATATTATATCTGTGTATAAGGACATAGGTAAATACATAGCAACTGTTAGTTATGTGTACTATAAATATGTATAGCTATATAACATTCGAGATTTTACTCAATTTACTTTAATATAACTTCTACTCGAAGAGTCTTTATTATTAATTATTGAACGGCACAATACATATATTATTTATCTATCAAAAATTCAATAAATGACGTATTTTATCATGGATAATAATAATAATATTTCACAAACTTTATTAGGTCCCTATAAATTCTATTCTCGTTGTAAGTAAACTGAATTTAAAATACAACTTCATACTAGTACCTAAACAAGATGTAACAATCACACATACACATTCTCACACTCACACAATTAAACATCTGTATTTGTATTACAATTGCCATCGCCTTTGATTTGACAATGAACATGATAATTCATATTTCAATCCGTTTCAATTGATACAAATACTATTCAATTACATTCCATTAAGCGTGATCTACACTTGTGTTAATTACTATCTCTATTAGGCTACTGTTATACATGCTTATTTAAAGCATGTGTAACTGTAGCCTTATGAAGATTTGTGTGTAGCGTTGCCAGGTCACCGAACCTAATAGCCGGACAGACCAGCCAGTTTGACCGGACATTTGGTTAAAAAAAGCCGGACACCCTAAGTTATTGAGGATTTTGTCTCAGTATTGATAGGTACGACAATTTTTTTGTAAAATCATCAAAACTTTTTGATTATTATCATAAATCTTGTAAATTTCTAGTGATATAATAAATAAAATCGTATGCCAAATCAGTCTTAGATAGGTACTTTATTATAAATTAGCGAAATGTAAAAAGCCTAACAAAAGCCGGAGAAGACGGACACCGTTTATTTTGGCCGGACATGCAATCAAAAAGCCTATGTCCGGCTTTATCCGGACGCCTGGCAACGCTATTTGTGTGTAGCTGGCTTTATATGTTGTCATACCTCAAGGTCGATCATTTCCCTGGGTTGAGGCGCTTCAGGCACCTCTCCTGGAATCTCCAACATTGGAATGCCATCTCTCCTAATCTCCTTCTCCAAGTAACGCAACTTCCTCTCCATCTCATCGCAACGGCGTACTTCATTGACGAACTTGCGCTGGAACGCGTTCACGTCTGGGTTCAACTGTAACAAATAAAACAAATATTAATATATGAGGTTTTTCCACTTGGAAATCCCTACTAATATTATAAATGCGAAAGTAACTCTGTCTGTCTGTCTGTTACGCTTTCACGCCTAAACCACAGAACTGATTGTAATGAAATTTGGTACAGATATAGAGTTGACCTTGAGAAAGAACATAGGATAGTTTTTATCCCAGACTTTTGATGGGTTCTCTTGGAAACGCGATATAACCGAACTCCACGCGGCCGAAGCTGCGGGCGAAAAGCTAGTATTCAATATATTATATAAATCACAACAAACAAAGGTAGCTTATAGATGGTTTCTCAACAAAATGACCTTTAGTTTTTATTACCTTCAATATTTCTAGCAGTCGTTTATTTGATAGGAACGCTACTTTAGGTTTCAAGCTAGTACAATAAATATATTTTGTAAATAATCATTAATTTGTACTCTGCTGCTTCTCAATAAGGTTGAAATTCATATAACTATATAAAACTTAAACATGTTTTGTTTCATATCTATTACTGTGTCAGATAATTTAACATCAGCAATTTGTTTATACAAAATTATACTTAATGCTGAAGGAAATATGTCATAACAATAAAATATATGATATATTTAATCCTTACAGCATGACTCGGAAGTCAACAGAGATTTTTATATACCAAAATAAACCACCTGTATTTAATATTTTGTGTTTTGCTTTATAATAATCTTTATTGCACTTAAATATTATAAAATAATCTATTTTATATTTAAGCGAATTAAACCATCATTTTCCTCATGCTTATACTTAGTATAGACAAAAAATATTATAAAAAAATAATAAATATGAAATCAAAATACAATAAGTTAAGTCATCATGGTTTCCAATAGTATAAATAGAAATATCTAATATATAAAATTCTCGTGTCACAGTTTTCGTGCCCATACTCCTCCGAAACAACCTGACCGATTTTGATGAAATTTTTTGTGCTTATTCGGTAGCTATGAGAATCGGCCAACATCTATTTTTCATCCCCCTAAATGTTAGGGGTAGTCCACCCCTAAATTTTTATTTTTTATTTTTTAGACAAAATTTTTAATTACTATTTTTTTATGATACAACGTACAAAAATACATACAATCCTAAATTTTCACCCTTCTACGATCAACCCTTATTTTTTAATAGCTATTTTAGTAATTTAATCATTTTTCATCTCCGGTCGATAACTGATCAATCGTCATTTAATAAGTTATCCCCGCCAGATATCTACAGGTGTCACTTCTGACCCAGTAAACAGCACGGAGTAGGGATGAGAACGAAGCCGGTCTTCTGTTTCTCTCACACAATTAGACTTCTCTCACTCCCTACACAGTTGTCGGCCATCGTTATTGTTTGTGCATCAAGTGTAGTAGTAACGTTGACAATTATTATTTTGCTAGCTCAGTGTAACTCTCATATTAACTATTAATCATTCCTAATCACTTCAAAACACGGAGATTTATGGCTTTAATAGGTAAACTCCAAAAATATAAATAAAAAAACGTAACAGATATTTCTTGATTATAGGGCGAAACGAAGTTCGCCGGGTCTTCTAGTATATATATATATATATATATATATATATATATATATTTACTTTTTCTATTGAACTTACTCCAAAGATTATACTAAAAACTATAATTAGGCCAAGTTAAAACTTTTTTATTTTATATAATGTATAATATTGAGGTATCATTATATCTGATTACTTAGATTAATATATCTTTTAATCATACAATGGGTGTGATAAAAATATGGAACTACTACCAAAATTATATTACAATCACATGACTGATAATAATTAATTTAGTTAGATTTATGTAATGTCTTGGAAATACAAAGTTTTATATAATAATGTATATTAAGATATATATTTCAATTTTCTAAGTGTCATATGAAAAATATCTCATTCTTACCTTAGAGACTTTAGTATTTTGATTTTATGTATAATACACAAATTAATTAGTTCTTTACATATGTCACTCCAGATATAATTAAAATGAACTTGTATGTATAAAAGGCTTAAGTCCAAAAATTCCAAATCTGTTGACTTGTTAATAATGCCAAATATGAATTTACCTAGGTCAAATAACTACTATAATATTCCATATTAGGTAGACTTATATAACAAGATTGGATTTTTCAAATAATTTCATAATTTTTTACAATGCCATATAGTTTTATTTCATAAAAATTAAATAATTGTTAAGAAAACTCATCATATAACTTTGTATAAATATTTTGAGCATTCTGACTTTATTAATATTATTATTCGTATGTAAGCTTGTTATAAATTCTTAATTATATATTCATAAATTAAGAATTATATATAGACTGTGAAATGAATTGAACTACATTATGTAAATTATGATAATAAAATGAAAATACAATTACACTTAGCATAACTGATTTACCATAACATAAACAATATTTTAGAATTAAATAAAATATTCGGTCTTAGAATTTTAAAAGAAAATATTTGCTAGTAGATATAACTTGATTGTGCCTTTACTGATTTTTTTCAAGTGTTAAAATATTCCCTTATCAAAAATACAAGTCAAAATATTAATATCTTTGAAAAATACTATACTATACACAATTGAATTTACAAACTATTCATTGTAATTTACAGACAAACACTTCTAGTGTAATATTATGCTTCAACAAGATGATAAGCTCGTTTTATTGCCTGTTTTGCTTTAGTCTAAAAATATATTTCAGTCCTTTAGTCTCCATACTGAGAATTTACTTAAAATCAATACAATAGTCACCTAGCGCACATTGCTTCAAACGTTTATAATAAATCTAAAATAATTTGGGTCAAACTTTCTAATTCCTAGCCTTAGTATACGCCCATTTCATTGTTCTATAAATTGAGGATATGTATAGTATGAGACAGATAAAAATTCCTTTAAGCACTTACATCGCGGAACTGAACAAGCCCCAGTTCACCAAGTTCAGACACGCATGCATAGGCTGCTTCACTCTGAAGAAATAGTTGACACAGAGTCATTTCCTCACTACGAAATAACGACCCCATGTTTAAGGGTTTTTCTTATCACAAATAAACGAAATTAAAACCAATTTATCTAGGTCCGCCGCATCCGCCGGCGAACGGACTTTACTGGCGACGAAACCGAAATAAAGTGGGCTGGAAAACGATCAATAAGATTTTCCAGCGAGCGGACTCGTCATCGATGCGCAACGCGACATTTGTATAGGGATACCATTAGCAAATATTATTATTCCAAAATTATATTTTTTAATATGACTAGAAATCTGATAATTTGTGATTTTACTTAAAAAATTAAAACCAAATATTACATTATTACGAAAGAAATGGAATCGTAACATAATTTCATTTCATATCCCACATGAGTTAAATATAGTGTATCTTGTTTTTTACATCAAAAATTTTATATTATGATTTACATTTCTTCACTAAATTCAACTCTTGGTAATAAATACACTGATAGATTATTTTAATTTATGAATTCCTGACAGTACCATGATAAATTATAACATATTCACTATCCATTGTAAAATATGACTGCAATCATGCAGTTGATGCTTTTAAAATTTTGGAATAAATACTTAAAGAATGTTATGAGACAGTTAATTGTTACTATGAAATTACCGATAATAGTAATTAGAAGATATGACGAGAAGTGGAATCAATTTATTGCTGTAATTTGATAATAGTACCGATCGATTGTAACTTTTAAACGATAGAATTTACTACAGATATAGAAACTGCTTGAATTTTGCTATCTCTAAAATAATTTAACGTATATTTTTTTGTTATTTTCACACTTTATATTCTTAGCAGCAAGAAAGATTATTTTTTAAATAGTTACCATTACCACTCAGTTTTGACATGTGTGTGGGTGGACTTCAAAATTTAACTGAGGCATTGGAAGCCCCGGGTTACATTAAAAATAATCTTTAAGTATTAATTTTAGACTAAGATGAGATGATATTAAATATTGATCTGATAATCACATAGAAATGGTATGTTGATAATAGGTAGTTTATAGAGAATTCCTTATACATTTTAAATTAACCAATGTTGAACTGGTTCTAGGCATTACTAGGGGCTCAGCTGGTTATAACTCTGATAATGGTATCAGTGATACAGAAATTGGGAAATTATTCATTCGCGAGATGGTTACTGTGTTCCCAAGGATTATATCGATATCTTTATCCTGATAATAATGCACTGAAAACATTAGCTGGTGTTCCTAAAGATAAACCGAAAGGAAAGAAAACAAAAAGTGATTCAAATGGCAAGCCAGAAACGTTTCATGTGCCCCGAAGTCTTGAAATACAACTGGAAACTGCTCCTGTGACTCCACTAGATGTTGTTCATTTGAGATTTTATACAGAGTATATATGGATAGTAGATTTTTCTCTGTATACAGCCTTTGTTTATATTATGTCTGAGGTATTTATAATTGTAAACTATAGAAAATGTAACATTTTTTATGTGACATTTCACACTTATTAACTAAAAATATTATTTACTTTATTTCTCAGGTGTACACTGCCTATTTCCCATTAAAAGATGAGTTCAATCTCAGCATGGTATGGTGTCTACTGGTGGTATTGTTTTCATTGTATCCTTTTTATAAATATGTACACAAAGATGGAGAGAAGTTATATTCACTTTCATATGTGTTTTGTATATCTCAAGTAATTCCTTAATTTAAATCCAGTAAAATCTTACTTTCACTGACCAAACAATACTTCACTAGTGATGAATCTATCGGTGAGCGGTCTACATGCATTGTCTCATTCTGTGTGTTCCTACTAATAGCAATGATCATGTTAATAGTAGATGAGAATATCTTAGAAGTTGGTGTGGATCCAGCATATGATAGCTTTAATGAGAATGCTTCAAAGTTCCTGGAAAATCAAGGGTTAAGTTCTGTGTAAGTTTAAAATATTTCATTCTCAGAAGAATACTATTTATGAATTATTTGTATGCTTTAAGAAAAGCAAGACATGGTCTTATAAAATATATTAAATAAAATGTATTACAAAAACCCTTTTTATAAGATTTATTTTATTTTCAGAGGTCCAGCATCTAAGTTGATACTGAAATTCTCGTTTGCTGTGTGGGCAGCTATTATTGGAACATTATTTACATTTCCCGGTCTTAGAGTTGCTAGGATGCATTGGGATTCATTAAGGTATAGTAAATACTAAATGCCAGAAATGTATTCCTATTATAACACATTGTCACATAATTAATATATTTTTGATACTACAAACTAGTTGTTCATATTCACAGGTACTACTCCGAAAACAAAGTGAAGTCTCTCCTGTTAAACATAAACTTTGCAATGCCATTTGTTTTAGCACTATTATGGGTTCGACCAGTTGCAAGATACTATTTAGCTGTACGAGTTTTTAGTGGAATGAGTGGACCGCTGTGGGTATAATATTTTATTAAGTACTATCCAATTTTGGTATAATTTAAATGTAAGAGACTCCCACAAGTAAATGATTATTTACTTTCAGCATGACCCCTCAAATGTTTGACACACTACGCATAGTATTGGTAATTCTAACAGTATTGTTAAGAGTGTCCCTGATGCCGCGTCAATTGCAGGCGTACCTTGATATGGCACAAAGGAGGTTGGATGTACAAAGAAAAGAAGCCGGCAGAATTACTAATGTTGAACTACAGACTAAGGTTTAAAACCAAATTCTTGATTTTTCTACTATATTACTTAAGTCACAAACTGAATAGTATTTATTTGTATTTAAAACATGGAAATACATTTTTTAATACGAAAAGTTGTTATATTAGATTAATCATGCTTTTTTTTTTACTTAAGTCTTCATAAAGTAAAATTGTGATAAATATTTTATTTATATTAGTATTTTCAATACTATCCTCATATACTTTTAATATATGAAAATTTTATAATACTTTTGATTTCAGATAGCATCAGTATTTTTCTACCTATGTGTGGTAGCACTTCAATATATTTGTCCCATCATCATGTGCCTGTACTTGGCTCTGATGTATAAAACCCTCGGAGGATATAGCTGGTCTTCTTTCATATATGAGACCGCTGAGAGTGAACCTGTAGTTGTTAATATGGAAGGAATGGAGCAGTTTCAAATGGCTTGGGAAAACTTGAAAATGGTAATAATGATTTTAATGTAATATAACTCAGCAGTTTGCTTCACTAAAGTTGAAATAAAACAAGTATTTTCTTAAAGAATTTCTTAATTTTGTTACTATTTCATTGAAAATATTGCTGTATACTGGTTTTAATGTTGTTATGTAATAGTTAAGGATGTTTATAAAAACTGAAGCAACATGTGTTGCACTAATAAATTAATATTGGAGAAAATATAGCAACATTTTGTCAAAAATCTACATTATCAAGCTCAAAAGGACTTGTATCCCGAGCCATAAAAAAGATTAATGAAAAAAAAACTACATTATAGCAACTATATACAGATGAAGTTTAAGAATGATTCTTAAATATATATTTTTTAACTCTGAAATGATGTCTTCGCAGGTATTTACTCAAGATGTTCATCGAGGTCTGCTTGGTTTTGCGACCTGGTGGAGTTGTTTCGCCTGGTTCCTCACAACATCATTAGGCACAATGTACCAATCTTATTTCCGGATATCATGATAGCTCACAATAAATACATAAAATACTACTACTGTAGCAATAACAGCCTTTTATATAATAACTCATAGATGTTAGGGCTTGCATCCAAATATTTTGTGAAGTTTATTTAATCTTCAATTCTGCTAAAGGTTTTATAATAACTTTAGTTAGTTTTTTTAAAGTTTTATCTTACAAAGTCCTGTGACTTCCCAGTAAAGGCTGATGTCATTGAGTTGGAATCTTGTATTTAAGATTTTACTTGTGTTGTTTTGTAATGCTTGCATATGACGTTGTGTTCGTATCATAAGGATTTAGTTATTTATTAAAAGGATGTAGTTTTTAGTAAATTATATTTGTTTTCTTTGACAGTTTTAATAAAACTTTTTATACATATGTTTCTATTTGGTTTTATTTCTCCTAAATCTTTTTCAGCAAATTCTAATCATGCATTTTTTATATTTAGTCTAAGCATTTTTCGTTCTGACGAATAATATATTACAGAGTGTGTTAAAACTTAAAATAATAGGCAAAAGAGTTTACTGTCTTTAATGAGTTTTAATTTTGACATCATGACGATTTTTTTTGCTGCAAATTTACATTTATTATTTATGTAGAACTAATAGGTAATGTGAGAAATTCAGATTTTATGTTAAAATATAAAACATAAGTGCTCGATATATGTGACGTGGCAATGTATGGACATAATTATTTAGTTACAAACCTAAAAAGGAATAATCGAATCTTAACATGTGGATATGAACTTTAAGATTATTAAAATTTGCTATAGAAAACTTAACTAACTCACAGTCAATTATGTGACGAATTTTGACATACATTCTCTAAATTAAAATATAAATATATAACTTCAACAGAAATAACAGTAGGTACATATTACTACATAACAACAAAGAAAACTTTTAACGGTGCATATTGCATTTAACAGGTTAGGAACGCTAACGTTAAATTTATTTTAGCTTTAACTACAATCAATAATATTAGTTCTTGTTAGTGATAAACATTATATATTTTTTTAGCTCTATTCGGTGTTATTTTTTGGCACGTGTGTTATTTTTAAACACCGTTATGTTATTTTAATTTTTTGCCCCAGTGTAAAAGGCGGGTTATTAGTTTGAGTGATATATCACATTATTCTAAAGTTGCGTACTCTTTTGGAAGATGATTACTTATAAATCAAGATTTGATCCCAAAAAAATATCTCCTCATTTATACTTTCTTATTTAAATTATAAATTAAAGGTAAACGATACATATGTGGTTATATCTTATTACCATTAAATACTCTATTTTATCTGTGGCTGCGATATATTTTATCTGTGGTGGTCAATTGAAGTAGTGATTTCAATCACAACTATCGATACCCAAATTATTATTTAGTATTAAATATAATATTCTTAGATGATGTTACATATATAAGAAGAAAAAAATAAACAAGTTTAATAATTTCAAACTTGAATGAGAGAATCGAACTTAAAAATTGATGTATCTTTTTATGGAATACGTAAATATACTTTAATATAATTTTGGTGAATACATGTCAAATATTGAAATTGTAACATTTAAGTATAATCATTTCAAAAGAGCTGGTCAATATTTTCTAAACACTTTCGTGCTTAATAATTAGGATTAAATTTAAACTTTTACTTCTCCGTTCTTTATCTATTAAGGATTTTATGATGTAAATTTATTAAAACTGCACATTATATGTAATGAAATTATAAATATCTATCATTACAAGTAAGTATTTAAAATAAAACTAATTGTATTTTATCGATAAAATATATTATGCCAAAGAGAAAAATACATCCCTAAAATATCAATAAGCACCTTCTGGAAGAAAAACGTCGACCAATGGCTATCTTTCGCGGTATTTGACATTGAATTCTATTGGTTGTTACAAGGAATATTCCAGAAAATACGAGTGACGTCGAGTGATTCTACGACCGCATATAAAGTGCTTCATCCGCATCGTGCGCCATTTTATAACGTTAAAGAGGCCGACAATCGCGCACCTTTGCTGAGTGATCTACTATTTAAGTCTACAGAAATACAAGCTAAGTCTAAAAGGTGAATATTCTCTATTTTTATAGTTCATTTGTTAATTGTTAATTTAATATTATTTGCTATTTGCTGTATTTTGAATTCAGATATTGTTCTTTTTTTTAACGTAAATCTGACAATGCTTGTCGAATGAGTAATCTTACCGTTAATTATCGTAACGAGGAATTTTTGGTTTGGTTTTGTGTTAAAGCACATTTTTCTAGAACATCAATTCCTTTCAAACATTTTAGGACGCTTCTTTGTCACAGCGGTTACTCGTTAAGCACGTGTTCGATATTCATATATTCTAAGAGAATCTTCGTTTTAAGCATAAAATTTTCGTAAAGTTAGTGTGCATTACCATCTAGAAGGTTCGCCATCGATTTTTTTTTGTTATGGCTGACATGCAGTTACCGCGTGACGCTATCGTTGCGCATTGCCGTTAAAGTTAAAATATATTTAATAAGAAGGCTGATAACTAATAACCGACGCATCAAATTCGTTTTTCCTTCCTTACTATACAAAGCGTTGTCCTACAAGGCTTGGAAGGTTATTTATTTAATAATTCTCGTGTTTGTTGCAGATGGCTGCCAAAGCACCCGCAGTAGGTATTGATCTGGGTACAACTTACTCGTGCGTGGGAGTGTTCCAGCACGGTAAGGTGGAGATCATCGCCAATGACCAGGGCAACAGGACTACGCCCTCGTATGTAGCGTTCACAGACACCGAGCGTCTCATCGGCGATGCCGCTAAGAACCAAGTGGCGATGAACCCCAACAACACTATTTTCGGTAAGATTTTGTTTATTCTCTATATGAAAATTGAAATACTCTATAGATTTATTGACTGCATATTCAAGTTTGATACCTTTAAGTGGTTTTAGTTTATATTTGTGGGTATATTATTTGTTAGTAATCTTTGATGGAAGTTCCAACATATAAAATATTATCATGACTCATCAAAATTTTCGACAATCTTTCATAAATTTGCATAACATTTGTTTTTCTTGATAAGATTGAACAGTCATACATCCTGCTTCTTGGAGTTACATAACTAGTTTTATACTTTTAATTATTGTCACCTATTATGGTTGTAATATGTAGTAATAAATTCTTTTGTGATTACCAGTAATTGTTTTGCAATAGTAATGTTTAAGTTCAAGGCAAGGTTAATTATTATTGGATTTTTCTTGCGGTAATCGATTTCGAGGTTGAGGAAGATGTAGCTAATATAAAATATAAAACTTAGTATGGTGCGGAAAATGCAGGTTCTTTTATGATGATACTCAATATACTAGACTAGAGTCTCTGAACATATTGAATGATAAACATAATCTGATGGTTATACAGAAGCTTATAAATTAATATTAAGTGAGAATAGTTTTATAAATTTGATTGTGATTGTTACAGATGCCAAACGACTCATTGGCCGCAAGTTCGAGGACCTTACAGTGCAAGCCGACATGAAACACTGGCCATTCGAAGTGATCAGTGATGGAGGCAAACCAATGATCAAGGTACAATACAAAGGAGAAGACAAGACTTTCTTCCCCGAGGAGGTGAGCTCGATGGTGCTCACCAAGATGAAGGAAACAGCCGAGGCTTACCTCGGCAAAACGGTGCAGAATGCAGTTATAACGGTTCCAGCGTACTTCAACGACTCACAGCGACAGGCCACGAAAGATGCGGGTACCATCTCTGGCCTGAACGTTCTCCGGATCATCAACGAACCCACCGCTGCTGCGATTGCCTACGGTCTTGACAAGAAGGGAGGCGGAGAACGAAACGTGCTCATCTTCGACCTGGGCGGAGGAACCTTCGACGTGTCCATCCTCACCATCGAGGACGGGATCTTCGAGGTCAAGTCCACCGCCGGCGACACGCACTTGGGAGGCGAAGACTTCGACAACCGAATGGTCAACCACTTCGTGCAGGAGTTCAAGAGGAAGTACAAGAAGGACCTCACCACCAACAAGAGGGCGCTCCGCAGGCTGAGGACGGCCTGCGAGCGGGCGAAGAGGACCCTGTCCTCGTCGACCCAGGCCAGCATCGAGATCGACTCCCTGTTCGAGGGGATCGACTTCTACACTTCCATCACCAGGGCTCGCTTCGAAGAACTGAACGCCGACCTGTTCAGGTCCACCATGGAGCCCGTCGAGAAGTCTCTGCGCGACGCCAAGATGGACAAGTCCCAGATCCACGACATCGTGTTGGTGGGCGGGTCCACTCGCATTCCCAAGGTGCAGAAGCTCCTGCAAGACTTCTTCAACGGCAAGGAGCTGAACAAGTCCATCAACCCCGACGAGGCCGTAGCGTACGGAGCGGCGGTGCAGGCGGCCATCCTGCACGGAGACAAGTCGGAGGAGGTGCAGGACCTGCTGCTGCTGGACGTGACGCCGCTGTCGCTCGGGATCGAGACGGCCGGCGGGGTCATGACGACGCTCATCAAGAGGAACACCACCATCCCCACGAAGCAGACGCAGACGTTCACCACGTACTCGGACAACCAGCCCGGCGTGCTCATCCAGGTGTTCGAGGGCGAGCGGGCCATGACCAAGGACAACAACCTGCTCGGCAAGTTCGAGCTGACGGGCATCCCGCCCGCGCCGCGCGGCGTGCCGCAGATCGAGGTGACGTTCGACATCGACGCCAACGGCATCCTCAACGTGTCGGCCGTGGAGAAGTCCACCAACAAGGAGAACAAGATCACCATCACCAACGACAAGGGCCGCCTGTCCAAGGAGGAGATCGAGCGCATGGTGAACGACGCGGAGAAGTACCGCAACGAGGACGAGAAGCAGAAGGAGACCATCCAGGCCAAGAACTCGCTGGAGTCGTACTGCTTCAACATGAAGTCCACCATGGAGGACGAGAAGCTCAAGGAGAAGATCTCGGACGCCGACAAGCAGACCATCCTCGACAAGTGCAACGACACCATCAAGTGGCTGGACTCCAACCAGCTGGCCGACAAGGAGGAGTACGAGCACAAGCAGAAGGAGCTGGAGGGCATCTGCAACCCCATCATCACCAAGATGTACCAGGGCGCCGGCGGCGTGCCCGGCGGGATGCCCGGCGGCATGCCCGGCTTCCCCGGGGGAGCGCCCATGGGCGGCGGAGCAGCCCCCGGCGGCGGCGCGGGACCCACCATCGAGGAGGTCGACTGAACACATTCCACACGCAGGAGACACGCCCTCTATACTTGAATGAGAAATAAATAATTGAAACATACTGCCTTGTTTTATTTGACATGTTATTGATTGTATATAATGTATGAAAAAAATTATAACTCTAGGGGTATAAGAACGATGCTTTGATACAGCGTCGATAAAGTAAAAGAACAAAGTTTAGTCTCGAGCAATGAATTTATTTCTTACTAAGTATACTTATTAAGTATAGTAATATTTCAGGGATTTTCTGTGTAACGATATATTGAATTATACTATTATACATAACAAAGCTAACAGATCAATTGCAAAGCTTTCTACGCTCGTAATTTAAATATTAACGAATTATATGTTCATAAAAGTATTAGATTCCCACGAGTGGTTGACCTTTATAGAGAGCTCGTAAAAATTTGGCAAACTATCAAACTAAATTCAACTTCTCTAATTTCGAAGGAATACTACAATGTTTAAAATTCTATAAATAATCATTCTCAAGAATTTGAATATCTATCGTGTATTCTTCAGTCTGCACCAAACTATTAATAATTTTGTGAGCATCTGTTTATAACTACCTATTAGTGCTTCTATTTCTAGAGCGATACGTTGCGTGGGTCTAGAAATACGCCTAGCTTACTATGAGTTCTCAACTTTTAATTGAATAGCGAATATTTCACTTTATCTCAAATGATTTGACATACCTACCTATTTGTGATTATGATTTTGTGTCAGGAGAGCGTCAGAAGACGTTAAAATTACTATTGATTAATTATTTATTATTGATAGAAGCATACATGTTAAAAATTTAACTATACTACATAAATAAATACTATAAATATCCTACATAAATAAATACATAAATAATACTGTGGTCTTAAATACTGGAACAATTAAAAATACTTTTGAATTTGGAATCTGTCATATTTTCACGTAAATAGTTTCTAACATTATAATGTGTTATTAAAATAGAGTGGGGTCGTAAGGAAATTCGATGTGAATGCTATATATAAAGTAGGTACCTATGGATCAAAAACAATTTTTAAAATACATCATACTCTTGATTGGTATTTATTTATCCAACATTTGTTTTTCGGACTCTTGACAATAAAAGTACAATAAAAAATGTGAAAAATACCTAACCGTTCACGTAGTTTTCTTACAAAAAAAAATATTGATGATAAATATAATTTTATTTCGAGATACAGGACTTAGAACTACGTTGAGTTTTCTAAAAGGTGACTTAAGCCTTGCAGCCTGTAAGAGAATATTAATTATTGGTCATATTGTAACTGATTTTTTTTAAAGATAGGACTTAGGAGTGTAAAATTAAAGCAACTTGTGAATCGTTGTGCGGAGAGAGGTTACAACTTACAGAAACATTTTGTTTTACGGATAAGAAATTCTTTATAATTGTGGAAAGTTTTAATATACAAAATTATCGTATTTATACTGAAAGGTCCAAAGAAGCTTCTCAAATAGTAAAAAGACTACATAAAACACGATCATGCATATATTAATTATGATAGTGTACTTGTAAATTGCTACAAAAGAAAAGTTTAAACATATTCTTTGTAATTTGATAACAGTTTAGTATTTACAAAATCTTTAACAATTGTATGCCAATATAAAACATATTTAGATGTATTTGTAAAGAAATACTATCAATATCGTTTATAATAAAGTTAAAATATTTGTGTAATTTTTTTTTGTTGACAGACAGATATGTTATTTGTGTTGCAAACTTAAAATTTCGGTCCTTATATTTTTGAATTACCTCTTTTGAGTTAGGTTTTTGTAGCATCTACCACCGTCCGTCATATGTCATTGATTAATTTAATAAAATCTTTATGTTATTATTTTTGTTATTCTATACACAAGCTATAATTCAAATATAAAAAGTCGTCTATTTAGTTTCCAATTTCTATGAAGAACAAACATACCTACATACTTTCTTATAAGCTGCTAAAGTAACTAATTATAGCGTCATCTAGTGGTCGTAAAATATATAAATATAAAGGCGAAGAGCCAAATGATATCGAGATTGTCACACACGTTAATAAAACTATATTTCTGGACTTAAAATGATTAGGTATATTAATATTCGAGGGAAGCGACCGGAACGCTGTACTGGCGACTGAGGTCATTCATCCACGGAGATGATTTAGACAACTGAACGTCGAGGTTTTATTTGTTTCATAGCAATGTTATCTGGGGTGGGGTTTATAAAAAAAACATCGTAATTTTAGGGACGGAAAACCTGTGTCAAATGTACTTAAAGACAGGTCACTTTACTCTTCCTGCATTGCGATCTTTTTTTTCTAGTAAAGCGAAAAGAAATACGTAGGTCCATCTCCTAGTGTTTTGATTCATTGAACCTGTACCTTTGCCTCTTTTGAATCTAAGTCAATAAGTCAGATTATATTTATCTACCGCCAAAGATTTGAAGATAGGTACTGGTTGAAATGTAAATCACACGTTAATATTTATGTAGGTATTGCAGTGCTAGAACTCTTGTAACGCTTATTTTGTTTGGTTTTCTATAGTATGACGATTGTTTAGCGACATTTTCATTCAATTTATATTACGTTAGTTTGTTGTAAAGGATTTTTCTAAATGGATCTCACAAAGTAGCATCTGTTCCTACGAGTTATATACATTATTGAAATTGATGTCTTGGCATCTCTTCAATTGATGTCTTCTTAATATTACTATTTATTATTTCAGTCACTTTTCAGATGCTTGGTAGATAGTACAGTTTTTTTGTATGACTGGATAATAGTTCACTGTACTACCGAGGTATTGGTAGGATGTCACACCTCAACAAAACATTTTCTTTTTAATTACATATATATTTGTTGCCTTATTTACCATTATGGAGATTTCATTACAAATTTGAATTCAATTCAATTCAACTGAAATGTCAATAAACACTTATGTCGCATTTTTCTAATTTTCTTTAAAACTTCCCGCGTAGAAAACCTATTGTAAATTGCAACTCAGAATGAGTCAGTCTGTCGCAGAGAATGCTGTTTGTAATACTAATAGTCATGGCAACATTGAAGTTAGCAACGCAAAATTAATTTATTCTTTAAACTTGTGATTCATTTAATGAAACTAATATTATTCGGATTATATTATGCGTTTTTTATTATTTTAAACTACATACTCCTGACGTTTCGGCTACTTTTCAGCAACCGTGATCACGGACAGACGAGATGTAAATATCTGTCAGTTGGTCTTGTTATTTTTTATCTACAGCCCAGGATTTCTTAATATTCTAGCGAACCTCTCTGGGTTTAAATAAATTTCTTGGAAAAAATGAAAATGTTAGATGAAAATCTTAGACCTCTTTTGTGATTGATTTCTTGTAATCTCAAGTCTTGAAGCTTTGCTTATACCTGTACCTACTCGGGACGGCGAACGCTCTCGGAAGGCTCCTACCGAATATCGGTGGTCCGAGCGTGGCATGCCGGCGTCTCTACACCAGTGTGCTGCGCTCGATGGCGCTGTATGGAGCTCCAGTGTGGGTCGGTGCCCTCACAAGGCCGAACGTGGCTGCGCTGCACAGGGTGCAGCGCGTCATGGCGGTGAGGGTGGTACGAGCATACCGCACTGTCTCACATGAGGCGGCTTGCGTGCTGGCTGGGACGCCTCCCTGGGAACTGGATGCCCAGGTTCTGGCGGAGGTGTACCACCAGCGTGCGCGAGAGCGATCCCGGGGAACGAGTCCGGACCGGGATCGGGTGGAAGGTTGGCGGCGCTCCGCGCTCGCCTTGCTATTTCGCCGGTGGAGGCGGAAGCTCTCTGAGCCAGTGGCCGGGTTGCGAACCGTGGAGGCTATTCGCCCGCTCCTCAAAGAGTGGGTGGACCGCCGACACGGTTCCTTGACCTTCCGGCTGGTGCAGATCCTCTCGGGGCATGGTTGCTTTGGGAGGTATCTGTGCCACATAGTCGGAAGAGAGCCGACCGCGGCGTGTCACCATTGCAGTTGCATGGATGACACCCCCGATCACACTTTGGCGGAGTGCCCTGCGTGGGCGATAGAGCGTCGCCAGCTCACCGCGGTGGTTGGCGCAGATCTCTCGTTGCCGGCAGTGGTTCAGGCCATGGTCGGTAGCGAGAGTGCCTGGGAGGCGGTGGTCCGGTTCAGCGAGTGCGTCATCTCGCGGAAAGAGGCCGCTGAACGAGCGCGGGAAGATGACCCCTCCTCGGCGCCCCTGCGTCGACGAAGGCTGGGTAGAAGGCAGCGGGCCTACGCTCGCCAAATGCCTCCCCAGTGAGAGGAGCCTCCGGGCGTTGGTGGGGAACCGGCGTCCGGGCAACATAGGCTGGAGTGAGAGTGGCGTGCTTGGCGTTCCCGGCACGCTGCTCTGGAGTCGGAGGGGAAGTGTGGTGAAGCCACTGTGACCCCTGCCGATGACGGAGTCCATGGGACTCGTGCGTAGTGAGCGGAAGTATGGCTTGCCGTTCCCGCTCACTAGCCTACGCACAGCGCAGAGAACGCCGAGGAGTTTAGTGGGTGGAAATCCCACACGCCCCCGCCGTGTTTTCCCCCGCGGCGGGAAGTCTTTCAAAGATTCTCCTCGTTAAAAAAAAAAAAAAAAAAAAAAAAAAAAAAAAATACCTGTACCTACAATATTGCCAAGCTAAAAAATATTACATATCTATTTTAAATTACAAATTGACATTTTATTCGTCGCCTTCTAAATATTATTAATACAATAAAACAAGTTAATATACAAATAACATTTATTTGGTTTCATTCAACATAACACTGCCTTAAATAACTTCTAAATAATTTTTTTTCATTAACAAAACTTTGTACAAAGGCAAACCATAGCGCTAACATTATACTCGTCAATTAAATCGTAACACATAATATATCGATACACTAAGTCGAAACGAGTTCGGACGTCATTTAGTTTAGTCGGCTTATAACAATATATAAGAAGTACATAATGTATAATTACTAAAAAATATATATTGAGATTGTGATAAAATTATTTTATATGGAATGGAATCGGTGCGATATATTTTCTCTTCGTAGTTATATACTGAGCTTATTAAAAATATATACCGCGGTATAGAAAGCCGACTAATCTAAAGCTTACTTATTCCTCATATATTCATATAAATAATTCCATTATATCTATATTAAACTTCATTTAACAAATGCTGTCCTTAATATTATTACATTAACTTCGACCTAACGCTACATTCGACAAAGCTTCTCCCTAGAAGCCTTAAGCACTTCATTTTCTATAAATTTCAATTAGTTAAATCATTTGTCAGCCATCGATACTAATTTCACCTCACATCGTCCTCAAACGTACAAATAGCATTGAATATCACCGGCGTATTATGGCATCCCAATTAACAATATTCTACATTTAGTGGCTTAGTAATTTGAAATATCTATTTTTCCTAATTTTGTCTATTAGTTTTTTTTTTATTATAACGGACATTCTGGACTCTTATTCTATCGACGAGAAATCACAACATATTTAAACGCGATGCCTAGAATAATTCGATATGACGGGGTTTTCATCAAATACTTTGATCAATAGTACTATATCTGGATGAACCACTTAGCCTCACACACGCCACACGCACCTCTTGTAAGTCTTCTTTCTCGTAATGCTTCTAATGAATGTTCGTATGTGACTACATCCAGGCGACAGCGGGCGCGCCGTCTGACGAGAGGGAGTCAATCGACCTGATGGTCGTTGACCTCTGCTGTCAGTAAAGCGAGGAGCTCGAGCATGGCCCGTCCACGCCCTGCAACTGTTGCTCTGAACTCGCTCCTAACTGGAATTGTTCATGTTAAAAATCATTTCAAACAAACGCCACTCATTGTCAGCGTTAGCAAACTCGCAATGAACTTTTCGTGACGAATGAACTGCATTGAATGAGATTATTTTTAAGGTGCGAGATGCTATTTTAAAGATTCATCTAAGTGTTAGAGTTACATTTAAATGGTATCAAAAGCTGTTTCGTTTGTGATGTATTGTTATCAGATGTTTATACTTAACAGGAAATAACGGCATAAGCATTGATCATACTTCTCTAATTTCACATACTGCTGGAAGCAGCCCATCGGTGGAGTTGTTTGGTGAGCGTGGCGATGGTGTCGGAGCGTGTTTTGGGAGGTCTCTCCCGGCCGTCATCTTGTCGTGAAGCTGCGCCAGTCGCATGCTCATTTGCCGTCTCTCTTTCTGTTCTCTCTCTCTCTCCCACTTCTTCGCACTATAACTCCTAATCGAGGATGAGCTGCTCTGCACTGAACTTAAACTTGGACGTCTCGAACCTGATTAGATTTGTTTTATTACGCATCATTTTTGTTATTGCTTATAGGTCTGATACTAGTTTTTGTGGTTAAACAAAAGCTTATTTCAGACAAGATTTCATTCATACTTGTTTTAATTGTTTGATTTTATAAGGAAAATGTAATTGAAAGCAATACTTACACAAACACATTGCAACAAACATAAAAGGCAGGCCGTGTTAAATAGTGATTTTTGTCTGAAATGTAGTGTCTTGTACTATATTTTGATGAATAATATATGTGTTCAAAATTGAGACAGTAACAGGCTTTGAGAATGGTTCAGTAAGGTAAAAATATTCTATTTAGAAAAAACTTCGTCTAGTATATGTAATATGTATATGTAATTTTAGCTACTTAATTAGCTGAGTCAATCCATACAAAATGTCACATGAATTTCATAATTATAAATTGATAACACGTGCAGTGAAGCATTTATCATGCAGCACAAACGTGAACATACGAGAAGCGAGCGGAAAAGCGAGATGTTCGTGAAACTGAAGCTTAGTGTAACCTTGGTCAAAGAACACCTACAATCTGCCAATTTTGCTCGCGAAAATATTTAATATGCAGATATGACGTAATTTGATAAATCGCTGGTAATTTTCTTGCAATTTGAGATATTTGTTTCTGTTAATGTATGTGTAATTTTAATGATGAAATATTGTGAGAGAAGTCGTAAAAATTATTAGTTAATGATAGAATTAAGCTTCGGTGCTGTATAAAGGTGTTGTTTGTTCATGTGAATAGTGTTTTAGTGTAAACATAGGCTTACGCCACCTTCAGTTTCGTTGATAGTACAAAAGCTGATAGTAGAAGAAAGAGACAAAGGACCATGGCCATCTTGCTCGCGCCACACGAAGAGCGTATTGCGTCTAGCGACTTGCACTCCACCGATCAATTCAAGCTTTAGCGACTATTATCAGTTTACTATACGAAATACCCTTCAGCACAGAACATACTCCACACAACCTCACATTATGACTGCGTTTAGCTGTGGCTTATAATTCATTGAAATTACCTTGACTATTTATTCAAACTCCTCCACTTGAAAAAGATTAGCTCACAATAGATAGCATATTATACTGAGCGTTGTCATTTAGTTCTGATAGATTCGTATAAGGAATTGATACGTGTCAGTGCAGTCGCAGACCGTCGCTCGGTGGCCGCTAACACCAAAACTGACATCTAACGGACACGAGCGACGTGGAACATGCGACCCCACGATGACGCTCCTCTAACGTAGTGATGTTACACACATCATACACATGATAGGAATTGATTGACGAAGGAGTCACGAAGGAGTTCATACGATTGAATAAATATATCAAGGAGACTCGCGTATATTACTATTTTTATCTAAAAGGTCGATCAAATAGAATCTTATAATTGTGAGCTTTTCAGTTATAGATACATTATATTAGATACTCTTATAGCTGGGAGTTGTATAGCGAGATATGTCTAGGTCTAGCGTAATACGTTGGAGGAGGTCCGCCCGGAACGTGCATACAGGGCCGCGTACATCATCCGGATCACCTTTGGCGGCGCACTTCGGGTGCGCGCCGCCGTCCCTTACGGCCTTCAGGTGGCGCGAGATTAGCAAGATGGCCGCCGTGCGCGCCGCACCTGCCCGGGACGCGCCGCGGCGGGACTCACGCCGGGACTCCTCCAGGGTACCGCTGGTGCAGCCACTGCGGGAGGAGGCGCGGGACGACGCGCGGGTAGCGCTCAGTGTACCTCCTGGATACATACAACCATATAGATGGAGGTCAACGACCTGTGGTCTTGAATCAAATGAATCTCACCAATATGTCAGAAAAGATAATGTGTTTGTTATTTGTTTCCACACCATTCTGGCATATACATATGTATGTTGCAATTAGAGGAAAAATAAACATTAAGAACTTTTAATTCAGAAAGAAAAAATATATGGATTTGTTTTAAAGATTTCCAAGTTCGTACGCATTCAAGTAAAAATAATAATAGAAAAAGGAAGTAGTATAGTATATACCGGTATCATTAAGTGAGTAGAGGCAGGGCGGTGTGAGCCTGGCGTCTGCCAAGTGTGCCGGGTGGTAGCGAGCCTTAGTGTACAGATGTAGCACCATACACAGCAGCCCAGCCAGTACGAAGATACCCGACGATACTCCTAACAGCGTCGGCATATCCGCCGTCAGCAGTACCAAGTCTGGAACGATAGAAGAACAGTTATAGCATTAAATATAACTCATACCTTTAAAAACACTACTTTGTGAAAGTTGTTCTTAAAGTTAATCTTCTTAATATAATCTTTTATATATAAAAGGAAGTCGTGTTAGTTCAACTTTTTATAACTCAAGAACTGTACGGGTTGGGTGCAAATTGGTAGAGAAATAGCTTAGAACAAGGGAAAGGACATAGGATACTTTTCATCCGATTGATAAATAAAAATAAAAATAAGCTAATCAAATCCAAAACCTTCATATCTACTGTCATTAAGGAGGATGAGAGTTCTCCCGGTCAGCTATACATTTTTAATTCTGAAAGTAACGCAGACGTAGTAAACACCATGAGGGTTCAGTAATTTTTCTTTTAGTATATTATAGGTACTATTAGTTATTACCTGCATATACAATTACGATGGTCCAATTAAGAGTACCTCAATAGCTATCGGGAATGGAAGTCTTGATAACATATACCTTCAGTGCAGAAGATTCTTTGGGTGGGCCTGGAGTGTGTTGTGGTGTGGTAGCCGGCATCACACTGGCAGTACGCGTTGTGATTGATCTGCGCACAGGATGCGTGAGGGTCGAACGCACGGCATGTCTCTTGGTAAAAACATTGCTCGCCCAGTTTCTTTGCTATTGAAAAAAATCAGGAATCATTGCTACTTAACACTATTCATATAAGTCAAATATATTATTTTCTTTAGGTTTAGCAATGAAAGATTAAATAAATGAATGTAATTACGCTTAGCGCAGCCTCTGGCGACCCCGAGCGAGACGGGGTGTTTAAGATCACACTGACACGAACTGGTTCTTGGTTCGCAGTACACGTGAAGAAGGCGGGGATTACATGTGAACTCGCACGGAGATCCAAGATACATACCCTTCTCTGAAAAGTAAAACATTGTTTAAATATATGCTCTACCATGATGCTTCTTTCTTTGAAATAATCATTAAGTCCATATTTGATATAAATAATACCAAAGTTGAATTTCAACGCTTCAAAAACAATCTGTTTGATTCACTATTAAGCAGAATCTGTCATTGTTGTAACCTTTGAAAATGTATATGTCAGTCTCAAAAATCCTCTTTAAGTTTGTTTGGTAAAAATAAAATATAAAATTTAGTATAACTAGCGTCGTTATAAAAAAACACAGTGTATAAATAACTTGTGTCTTAAATTCATTATTATAAAGTACCGTCTGCATTTCGTACACAGTTCATTTTATACACAATAAGTTCAAAATACCCATATTTCCTCACACACGTAACGAATACTTTTTCCAAGTATATTTCTAGTATATTCACGTTCCGTATTCGTCACGATCTTATTATATCGTGTTCGATCTAATAAAGTTTTTCCAGGGGTTATTTACAAAGGTTTCTTCGATCCACTGTAATGAATTCGCTCGCTCATGAAGCTTGCGAAGGTTGCACACTACTGAAATTAATAACCTGTCAATACCATGCTAGGAAATGGTGAAATTTAAACATGCTGCTAATCATAGCATACATCAGTTAATTTAGATGCAATAAAGTTAGACGTGTATCTAATGTTTGTTTAATATAAATATATGTTACTTACTAAGTTCTCTTTCAATATTTTTCTGTTAATATTGCATTAGAAAATAAAGTGAATACATAACAAAAATATAAGGAGCGGTACGCTAGAATATTAAGAAATCGATGGCGGTAGGCGTAAATAATAAGACCAATTGACAGAAACTTACATCTCGTCTGCCCGTGATCACGGTTAATGAAAAGTAGCCGAAACGTCGGGTGTATGTAGTTTTTTACAAAAATAAAGTAGTATATCGCGTAGTACATCGAAAAAACATTAGTTTCACTTAAATGAATAACAAAAATATCCCAACAAATTCTTTCAGTTATAAAACTGTAAATACAAGTGAGAGTAAAACACGACTACAAAAAACATGCACGTTAAACAATTAAGTATTTATTTTTTAATATAAAAATATAATGTAATTCACAAGGGACCGTTTATTTGTAATAATTAATAACAACGAATAAGCGTTGTAACAATTTGTTTGAAGACTTGTTAAAAGATGTTTAACTAGTTATAAATTCGGTTAAAGTTACAAAAGCGAGACTTTGACACAATATTTGATACAGAGAGTATTAGTGTCAAAGTCAAAGACAAACTTCTTCACTTTTTGGTTAAACGATCTCATAAATAATTAAGAAATGGTGTCGTTATATCATAAATAAAGTTGTTATACATAAAATTAATAGATAGTATCTGAAATATATATTGAATAATGGTTGTTCAGCGGTTGTAGGTCAAGGGCTTTTCTAATAACCACAATTTAAAGCCTCGCAGTGACTTGGATCGGACGCTAGCGGCCGTAAAACGATTATCTTGCTCGGATTATATGAAAGATATTAAATATATATATAAATGGTTTACAAAATACCTTATAATAATATTTTACATACACTGTTGATATGTATACTCGTTATTTTAAAAGAATTTCAAAACGAAAGTGCGTTTTAGAATCAGAAATTTCAGTTTCATTTCCACATTTGTAATATCTGTATTTCACTTGAGGTTATTCTTAAATTCTTAAAGTCTTTCTTAAGTATAAATAAAATCAATAGTAAGTGTTACCAGGCTTCTGTGTAAGATTTAGGGCGAATACCATTTTTCAGTCCAACCTTGTACCTTCAGGGCTAGTATTTAAGCAGTTTATCTAATTAAAGTGCGATTTATTTCAAGCATTTCACACGAATACTTGTGGGTTTTCCCAAATAATCAAAGTTGGTAAATAGTTTGTTCGATTTTTTCAAGGCTTCAAGGAATAGGCGTAGTTCATCCGATTACAGCAATTATAGCTAAGACGCTTAAAAAGGCACACTTAAGCCTATTCATAATTAACTCAGCTTAATAAGGATTTGCTTCAAAAGTTTATTCTATATCAATATACTTTTACGGTTAAGTTTTCTTTTATTACCTAACGTATACGTATAGCAACTTGTTACGAAACGGAAGTGACAAAGGAAGTACGTTACCGGATATCCTGTTTCTGATAACATGTTTTTTTAGTGTTATGAAATGGGTAAAGATTGAATTTATGTCAGTATGACTAAACGGTAGTAATATGTCCATACCATATAAGTTCTGTGAATAAGGGCTTCAATGATCTCTTCTTCTTCTTCCTGGCAACTTTCCAGCTTTAACCAGGGTCTGCCTAAATGATATTTAAGTATATCCAAGGTGTTGTTTCTTCGTAATTTGTAAACGTCTTAGCATGTCCTAAGTAATATAAAACCGTAGTACTAAATGACTAGCGGTGACCTAGTAGAAACATTAGCATTTTGTGTCAAGTTCAGATCTGATAAATTTTTATCGGATTTTCCGTCCAATATAAATAAGTTTACGTCGAAAGTAAAGAACGTAATATATAGCATTACGTACACAATTACCATTTCGTAGTATAATCTTGTATTTGATTAAATATGTTGATTTACTATTGTGATTTGATTTGTGTTTTGTTCAGTCACTTCGGTAACCTAAACAATTTAAGTAGATTTTTTTAATCAGACTAATGTAACTAAATTACGTACTCCTTCTTATATATATAATACAAGTAAAACTACACCTGATGAAAACTTTTAATTTTAACATAACGAATTTTCTAGTGTGAAGTACTGTTAGGTTTTTCTTACTATTGAGATTTGTGTGACACTATTTTACTTTTATTCTTGAAATGAATCTGAATTTGAACATTGGCCTTAGTTGGTTTAGAATCTGACTGACACTAAAATAAGTGTCATGATAAGTTGGTCATAAATTGGATTTTTATAGTGGTCAACGGACGCAATTGTGTCTTCCACAGTCGAATTGAGGCGTCTCCATATAATGTGCTCCAAGGAAGTTACAATTTAAGACACAAGTTTGATTCTTCTATCTTCTAGATAATTCTGCGAGACATCTCGTCACCAAGGTCTTTAAACAACACATATACTGTTCATTTAGCTGAAAAATTATATCCTTAAACCTCAGCCAAGATGGACAGCGATTTACTAAATTGCATAATTCTTCTAGTATCAACCTATAGGATGGTAACTTAGAAAATATTTCTTTATGTCAAACGCTAGAGAAATACTTTCGTAATTTCAGACATAATATGGGTAATATTAAGTTCCATATATACGTAGGACGGATATACACAAATAGACAACAAGAATTCACTGTAGCTGAAAGGGAATATAGCAGAATAAAATAAAATACAAATGGTTCTATCGCTTTTGAGACAAAAGTCATTTACAAAAAGAAGGAACATTCCAACCGGTCCCAGTCGAGTTAGGCTATTACAGATAAAGTCAGATGTTCACAGGTACTGCTACCCGAAATTCGATAAAGTTTTATATAATACATTGAGTACCAGTTGATATTTTTAAAAAACTGTCTACTGTCATTGGTTGTCCTCGTCACATTTTTTAAAACAAAGGCTGAAAGTTCAATAGATTTAAAATGTATACAAAAAATAAAATAGATTTTGTATACAATGTTTATAAAATAAAAATATTAACATGAATGTAGAAAAAATAGGTATGATAAAACGTTTTAATATATAAGACTTTTCCGAGTATTTATTCAAATAAATTAATATTTTCCTCTGCAAAGTAACCGAAACGTCCGGACATTGTAGTTGAGATAATGAAAAATGCGTAATAAATCCGATTATATCAGTTTTATTTATAAGAAAAAGTACATATTTAAGCTGCAATATACCTTCTGAATAGTATTAATTAAAATTAATTTGACTAATGTGAAGACTAGTTGGGTTTTGGAAACGGAAAATTTATCAAAAAGTTTCTTTAATACTCAATTAATATTATATGTGCATGATGTATTTATGTGTTTGTTAAAAATGAAAACAAGAACAGAAAAAAAGCAATTATTGACATATTAAAATTCATAATGTCCTGCTTTTTTTCGTTGTCTTTGCTATACAAATATCTAGCAACTTGCGTGGAGAAACTTTTAAAATACAAAGAGCTTAAGTTTAAGGAATGGATAAGTTATGCAACTTTCATGTGGTATTATAGTTTTAGTAAGAATGGATAACATTTGGATTTTAAAGTAAATGTAGTGTGAATGAATATCTGCACAAGGGAATTTAGTATTATAAAATTTTTAAGGGAAATTATGAATAGTTTTATATGCGACTACGTTCGTGGAGACTTTGGAATTGAGTTTAGAGGAAACATATGAAGTATGTTTAAACAATTGACATGTAAACCAACCGGAGCAGACGTCAAAAGTATGTATTACGTAATTTTGTAAATAAAATAGCTGCTTTGTAATTATTTTCGATACATTATAGATCTTACGTTATTCTGATGTCTTAGCTATATTATCGTAAAGTTTCATTGAAATCTGTTATATAGATTTGCGTGTTAGATTGACAAATAACCACACATCCCTAGGTCAAAAAGATGAAAAAACTAACTACTGTTTGTATTGGTCTTCGACCTAACTATGATTTCAAGCTATAATAAACTAGACTTTAAGTTTTCATAATAGTTGAGTTAGCTTGCAGTCCAATACTCTGGTTTCACGGAACACAGTTGTCAGTTGAAGCTATATTTAAGTTCTAGCTACTTTGTAGCTTTGAAAAGAAATTTATGAACTGTCTCGGTTGAGTGGCCCGTATCGGAACGACGGGGATATTATATTTTGTATGAAAATTTTCACAATCATATGACAAAGATAAAGTTAAATAATTTCTTTAGAATATAATTTGAAACTTCAAGCACTAAACATTATTGTAAAATAAATATATCCTTATGTTTTCTAACGGTCTGGGTGTAAATATGTATAAGGATGTCATCCTTACTAATCCTTACTATACCTACTAGTCC